CCCCGCGCCGCGGGTCGGGCCGGGCCCGGCCACCGGGTACTGACCGCTTTGTTTCCTTCACACTAGTTCTCGTGAATTCGGGGTCACGGCACGAAGCGAAGTACCTCAGCGGCATTTCTCACTTCTTGGAAAAGCTGGCTTTTTCCGTAAGTGCTGCGTTTGGGATGACTGGCTTCCGCAGCCTCTTTGCAAAATACCGTGGGGAAACTAAAAAAAAAAAGCACCAGCTCCCCCCCCAACCCCCCAAACTGGACATCAACGCGAGTGACGGCGCCCAAGTACAGCTGAGGGCAGGGCCTCGCCCCGCACAGCGGCAGTGTGGGTTTAAACTGCTTAAGCACTGATGGCGATGGCGTTGCTACGGCTATAATTATACTCTGAAAGTTAGGCTGTAATTATACTCTGAAAGTTAGGCATGCCTTCATCTCCAAAGTTACAGAGCATTCGGCAAACCGTCCGACTTAAAAAATACAGGAGGCTTTGCGTGTGCAGATGTGCTTCCTTGTTCGAGGCTCTGCTGAATAATTGTGAACAGTTATCGCTTTACTGATTCGTAACGCTAGTCTCTTATTCTTAGTCCACAGCTCGGTTTGTTAGCAAAGATGAAATTCTCCTCACCTTGGAAAAGCACGGGGGCATTTGTGACTGCCAGGCATCAAGGTATGGTAGTTTTTCCTGTACTCTGTAACCTGAATGGTTGTAGCGTGGACAGTAGTTTGAGATGACTGAATCCTTGCTTTCCTGGTGCGTGAGAGTAAAAGCCAGTTTCTGTTTCTGAGTAGAAGAAATCTTCTCTTTGTGGCAGTTGCTACAGAAGCCACAGGAACGAACCTGACAGAGTAACAAATGTCAGCGCTATCTCATGTTCAAAGCACTTAGTGAATAGTGATCAAGCAGCTTTGTCTGTGATTTCCTGTAGCGTGTTTGCTGAACGCTCAGACGTGTGACTTCTGAACTGAACGCGAACCCCATCTGCTTGTGTTGCAGGGACACAATAATGTATGCCGTTTCTGCTGACGCCAAAGGCCTGGACACAGTGGTCAATTTGCTGGCTGATGTAGTGCTACAGCCCAGGTTATCAGGTCTGGGAACATAAGTGTCTGTCTCAAAAAAGGAGTCCCGAAAGCAGGACTTGCTTAGTGCACTTTCAAATTCTTCTTTAGATTGCACTCATCAAGAAGCTTAAGAGTTCTCATTCAGCAACTGCATATTTTGTGTTGTGGTCGTTATTTCTTGCTTTGCCTTTTATCATAGATGAAGAAATTGAGATGACTCGAATGGCTATACGATTTGAGCTTGAAGATTTGAATATGAGACCTGATCCGGAGCCTCTACTCACGGAAATGATCCATGCGGTAAAAAACACTGACAAAGCTATCTTGCACACAGCACCCTGTATGGTACACGTTGCGTTCTCTTCCTCAGCCTCAGGGCTTATTTTAGACTGCTCTGCAAACAGATTTTTCTGATATTCAAATACATTTCAGCGGTAGGAAGGAGAGTTTTGCTGTCCCTGCATTTTGAAATTGTAGATTCTGTACATGTGAAAGGTTTCTAATCTAAACTAAAACCAACTATAACTTATCTTTGTTGATATGGGTGACAATATGTTGTTGACTTATGCTGACATAAGTGAAATGATGCTCAGCTTGTCCTCTCTTAACGCATCTCTGTCAGGTAGGTGTAATTCTGGAATAAGAAGAAAGGCTTAGACTGAGGGGGCAAAGTAACGTTTGTTACTTTAACGTATCTGTTTCCTTTTAGGCAGCCTACAGAGAAAATACAGTTGGACTCAACAGGTTCTGCCCAGTAGAAAACACTGACAAAATTGATCGGGAAGTCCTCCATTCGTACCTGCGCAACTACTATACGCCGGACAGGATGGTGCTGGCTGGGGTGGGGATCGAGCACGAGCAGTTAGTGGAGTGTGCCAAGAAGTATCTGCTTGGAGTAGAGCCAGCGTGGGGTAGCGGAAAGACCAAGGACGTTGACAGATCTGTGGCTCAGTACACAGGAGGCATTGTCAAGGTAAAAGGCTGTGTATATGCAGTCAAAACTGACTGTGGCAGCCATCATTTGGGTGACAGGTTAATAATCGGGAATTTATCGAGCTGCATACAGAGGTGAAAAGCAGTCCTAATTATTTGTCTTCCCTTGCCACAGGTTGAAAAAGATATGTCAGATGTGAGCCTGGGCCCTACTCCAATCCCAGAGCTTACCCACATCATGATTGGGCTAGAAAGCTGCTCATTTTTAGTAAGTATCGGCCGCAAATCCATTGTTTCACATGCCGTGTGCCTGAAGAATTCCAGGCTGCTGTCTTGTCCTGTAAACACTGGCACTGTTTTGCTGCTGATGGTGCAAGTACATACAGGCAGCTTTTTCACTTAACAGTTTTTGGGGAAGCTGGGAAATGTAGTAAAACTGGACACATGCCAGAGTGCGCTGTCATGCCTTTCAAGAGGCAGATGCATCTTTGATAAAGGCACTGATTTTACACTCCTCTTATGCAGTTTTTTCTGACTTTAACTGATCCCTGACCCTTGAGATCCCTACTAGGTCTTTGCTATTAGTTGACTGAATTTCTTGTTGCAATTCAGGAGGAAGATTTCATTCCCTTTGCAGTATTAAACATGATGATGGGAGGTGGCGGCTCTTTTTCAGCTGGAGGGCCTGGCAAGGGCATGTTCACCCGACTCTATCTCAATGTACTCAACAGGTTTGTTTGACTTCCTGTTTAAGGGATAGCAGAAAGCCAGTCTTCTCATAGGATGCTCACATGAAAGACTGCATCTTTTGAAAGCCAGCACGCCTTATTCTGCTTGAAATACATGGGATATGTACATATGACAGTGACAACAATATGTCACTGAGCATGCGAGAGGGTGAAAATAACTGGGCAGAAGTAACCAGGAATTCTGTCTTCCTCCACCAGTCTAACCCATCCTTTTCAACAGAGACTATCGGTGAAATTGGCAGTAGATACCAGTAATTCTGCTTTGTATTGCTCTCCTGGTTTCAAGGATGCAAGTGGAGAGAAGGAAATAGATGAGACATGCAGAAATGTCAGAGGCAGGGAATGATAATCTCCATAAGCACTGCTGAAAATCTTGCTTCTTAGCCTGAAAATGGGCTACAGGGACTCACTGTCTGCTTTCTAGTTCTATGACATTTAAATAAGCGTGTTTATGTACTCACAGGCACCACTGGATGTATAATGCAACCTCCTACCATCACAGTTATGAAGATACAGGTCTCCTGTGTATTCATGCCAGTGCAGATCCAAAACAGGTATGTAGCCCTCCTGTGTTCAAAGACAGATGCCCTTCAAAAGGCATTGCTTATTACCAAACTGAAACGTGGTAAGAACTTTTACACTTTGAGATAAATTAATTAGTGGTAGCACGTGTCTGTACAGAAGTGCCCGTAAGATCTGGGGGATTTCATGTAACTTTGCAACATAGCGTATGCATACTCTGTTCCTTATGCATAATTATAGTCTTAGAAGGATTTTTTGGTTTACTTCAGTGAAGAGGTTTTTTGTAACATTACAAAACTATGGGAATTCAACAGAATATTGTTCTCAAATTCATTCAGTTCTTCTAGGCTAGATCTCCCAAGGGAAGAAGTGTCCACTCATAGTAGCTGTTGAACACTTTATGCTATGTTAAGAGAATAATTAAGCATTGTTTTAATTTTCTTTCAACTATCTGTTTTTCCTAGGTTCGGGAGATGGTGGAAATCATTACAAGAGAATTCATTCTAATGGCAGGAGCAGTGGGAGAGGTTAGCAGCCTAACTTGCAATCTGTGCATCTGGTCTTTCAGCTGAAATGTTATATTGAACTGGCCTTGCCAAACTAATGAATTTTTTGTACAGAAGTATTGCACTTCTTTCTATAAAAGAGTACAGTCATGTAAGCACCACCTTCACAAAGAGGAAGGTGTTTACAAAATTCTTACGTGCTCTCTAGCCCTTCATAGCAAACGTTTATAGCAAAAGGAAAGACCTTTTGCTCATTCTTAATGTCTGATGTGTGCTAAGGAAAGTCTAGCTATTAACTGGTCCGGTGCCTTTTTTTTCCTCCTCTGAGGCAGTACATCTAGGATAAAGCTCAGCTCCATCTCCTTCATGGAGCAGAACGTGGCACTAAAGCCAACCTCCCTGTTTTTTTCTAGGGAGTGATGGTATCTTGTATTAGAGAGCAGTGGTCAGACTTGTGTGAACGTTTATTTGCATCTGCTGTTTCTTTGCAGGTAGAACTTGAGCGAGCAAAGACGCAACTGAAATCCATGCTCATGATGAACCTTGAGTCTCGGCCAGTTATCTTTGAAGATGTGGGAAGGCAAGTGTTGGCAACAAACACAAGGAAACTACCTCATGAGCTCTGCACGCTCATCAGTGAGTAAACAGTACTTTTCCTGTGCCTGGATTGAACTATAGTTACATTTCGGGGGTGGCAACTTAGACCATATTCTTGCAGCACAGATGAATTGCCTTAGAAAGCAGGGTGGCATAAACACCACAGATGCATATTTCAAACTGACCTTCTCAACTGCTTGCAAGCTAGCACAATGCTATTGTTTGACCGAAGGAAGGGAAAACCAGAGGCGTGGTAGAGAAGGGCCAAAGCTAGTGATTGGTCTTCTGAAGTCAAAAGAAGAGTCAAAGACTTTTTTTCAGGTCTCTGACTCAGTGCCTCAGCAAAGCTGCTGCTTGCTATTTAAAAGATGGTTGTAACAGCTCTGCCTTTCATCTGCAGGTGATGTGAAATCTACTGACATCAAGAGAGTGGTCACTAAGATGCTTCGTAACAAACCAGCTGTGGCTGCACTGGGTGACTTAACAGATTTGCCCACCTATGAACACATCCAGGCAGCACTTTCCAGTAAGGATGGGCGACTCCCTCGGATGTATCGGCTCTTTCGATAAATCAGTGCATATTGCAGATATCTATGACAGACTACTTTTTTTTTTTTTTATAAACATTTGTTGGATTATAACATTGCTGCAAAACCGCCCATACCTTTCCAGGCATAGTGTGCAAACATGGGAGTAAGCTACAGCTGAACAAAACTGCTTCACAAGATTGGACTGCGACGAGCTCATTATGTTGTGGGCTTATAAGCCATCCTGGCTCTGGAGGAGTTATTTTTCACCTTCTGAGTAGATTTATGGCAGAAGATGGCTGTATGCAGCCTTTTCTTGGCATTGGGGAGAACACAGCAAGGCAGAATATTCATCACTAGCGGAAAGCATGTAGCTGAGAAGGAATAAGTGTGTTACCACTTAATCATAGTGCAAGACCAGCCTTTTCGGCAGCACAGGCAGGGCTGCCAGCGTGGAGGCACCTGTGTGTGCCATTTTTGAGGTATGTGGCAGCCTGCCCTTCCCTCCATTGTGGCCACAGCACCTGTGCAGGGCAGACAGTTGGCCATGTTGGCTGGCAGTGGGCCGGATGGGATTAAACTACAGGCGCCTTCAGGCTAGGCTGCTCTGGTAAAGGCACAGAGCGTGTTCACGTTAGCTTTCCTTCATAAGGCTGATGGTGACAATCCAAATCTACCACATTTGTTAGTTAAAACATTGATTTAGAGACGTTCGGTTTGACAAGTCAGTTGGCCTCCAGTGACATACACTGGGAGCCCGCAGCCTTATGCGGGCATAGGAAGACTGAAAATGCTGTTAAAGGGTCTGGCTTACATATGTGATTTCAAAGAATATTTATAGCTATTACCAAGGTGGACAAATATTTGGTCGAAATGAATTTGGAAAATATTAGTTATTATCCCTGTGCACTTAGGCAACAAGTTTTCTGCATTCTATTTTTTTGTTAGAAGAATCATGGATCGTTTCGTCAGTGTAACTTACCTTCTGTAATACTCTTTGAAATAACGTGTCTGGAAAGAGCTTGATAATTTTGCTAGAAAGAGCTCAAAGGAAAGTAGACCTAGAGCGAAAACAGTTTCTGGGAAATCCATTTATGGAGCTAGTCTTCCTAACTCTATGTGGATATTTATTCTAGAATGAAAGCAATCCTATTCTTTAGATTATTTCACTTGCAAGCGGATTATGCTAAAGAATAAAGTGCTTTTACTCCAGAATTGGCATCCAAACAAGAAGTTATTAAAGGAGATGCTGCTGCACCTTAAATTCATACTCTCCCTTTCTTCAAATTGTTATTCAGGTGAACATCTGCAAAAAAAGGCCTTGTAAACAAAAGACATAGCTCTGTCTTTGCTGTGAGACTGACAGTTTAGTTAGGAGTCAAGATCAACAAAGTGAGGATGGAAAGATGATAAAGTGGTTGACTCTTGGGAAAAACTAGGATGCTGCCGCATTACAGAAAGAGACGTGAAGCTAAGTGAAACACACTTGACATTACTGGAGCCACTGTGGCCCGTAAGAGCTGATTTACCTAATCCCCTACCATATACGCTTAAAAAAACGTAGGCTGCTGCACTGCAGCAATTCACTGGCTTGGTACGTCTTTTAAGGAGCAATCAAACTGGGAGCAGAACACTATGAGGCAGCTACTGTCTGCTTTATCCCCGTAACTTCCCTCCTGCAACTGGAAGAAAAGATGTTGCGTTGCTTCTTATGGACCCCACACTATGGACGTCTGTAGATGCCTCTGTCCTATTCAGTTGTTGTGTACGTTTGTAAAGAAAATAAAGAGACTTTTAAATGACTGGAGCAAGTAATAAGGAGCAAGAGTTCTGAAGTTCATCAGTTAATGGTTGGGTTTCTTAAACTGGCAGGTGAAATGCACTTCGTTAACAGTCCCAAAGAAACCTGTCAATTTTTCCAGGTGAAGAAAAATGCATGCTGTCATGCAAATGGTTAGCATGCATCACACAGTCAAAGGCCTTGAGTTCTCAACACTGCAACAAGAGCTGGTTCTCGTTTAAGGTACAGCATTAATTTATTTTTATTCCTTTAAAAAGAAAGGAAATCCCAATATCTGATGGCTACAGACAGGCCAGTGCTGTAAAAGTCTGTACCGCAGAACAGAAACTTTGTCTTGGGCAGGTTGCATAGTTTTAGCAGCAGTTCCTCCAAATAGTTTGCTCTGTTTTTTGTGTAGTAAGGTGACTAACCATTCAATCTGTGCCCATCGAGAGTTGTTCATTATTAACTGTAGTTATATTTTACCAGCACCATACTGGTCCCTGTAGTAGTGAAATTAAGTGCCTTCAACAGGGATAAATTCATGAAGAATGCGTGTCTGGTCCTCACCAAACTCACTGTAAGTTTAAAAAGACGCTACCTTCAAAAATAGCAAGTTATTCAGAGTTTACTGAATCGGGAAAATAAAAACAAAGGGGATTTAACTCATAGAGCCAGAGGGAAAGGAATTGAGCTGATCTGACTTGCTGCAATTTCTCTGGATGCTTCCTTAGTACTCATTTGATATCTTAATCACTTTGGTGGAACATTACATAACAGCTGTATTTAGAACATTGCTTTCAACTGCAGTGTCCTGCTGCTGAAGGCCAGGCAGCGTTTTATCACCTTTAGGGAGGACAAATGAATTGAGGATGGGATTGTTTCAAGAAGTCTCAACAACCAAAGAAATTTACTGGTTTGAGAGATTAATATTTACCCCCTTAGTAACAGAAGGCCTATACAATAATTAATCAAAGGCAATGTTTGTACACTTTGAATGTACTGTAGTACATTCATACAGGTCTTGCTCGAGAGGGCCAAAAAGCCCAACAAACAAACACTGTCCTCACACAAAACTGGTCCCTGTTAAGCATTTTACAGAATACCGTACATCTGGCTGCAGGTAAGGAGAAAAAAAAACAAAGTAGATCCAATCAAACAGACATAGAAACGTTTTCGCCCTTCTGAAAAATTTTCTTATGTCATCCGCCCCCTGTCATACCAATTCCAGGGGCTGCGCACCCTGTGTAGAGTCATCTTAGAACAAAGAGACTGCATCAGGCTGCTTCCAAAGATAATAGGGTTAAAAGTAAATCAATTATATCTGTTGATATGGATGTCCTAAATAACTGACTCCCTTTTCCTCAGCAAAATCACTTGAGCTGTGTGGATCAGCTCATGCAAATGAATCCAGGGTGAGGTTTAAGACATTCTTCAGAAGCCACAGCAGCTGCCAGAGGTGCTTAACCAGACAACAGTTCCCTGCAGACTTTGCTGTGGCCTGAAATCCTCTTTCAGGGCACCTCTAACACAAGCATTGCAGAGTTCTCAGTTCAGGAAATGCTACATACGCTGCTGGATTTTTGGTCCTTTTGCTCGTGCCGTTTCTTCAGTTCCCTTGTAATCCGTCTCTTTATTCCGATTAAATAGAGCTCTCTGTCAAACTGCCCCGCAGCGAGTGGAATGCTGCAACATAAACATAAGCAACAAGATCAGGGCACAAATTCATTCTTCTTGTTGGTTCTGTATGTCCCAACTAGTCCATACAAGAAAGGTCAGAAAAGTCATTCTTAATTTCTTGAGGCACTCGGTTGTTGCTCTGAGTGAAGAGGTACAAGTTCTTTTCCACAGTAACAAGTTAAAGCTTTTTCACAATACATTTTAAGGAAGATTATATGGGTAGTAATAGGGAAATGTACCTTCAATTTAAGCATGAAAATGCCTGCAGTCACAAGGAATACACATAAAGGACATTGGTCTTTAGCCTTAACACGAGTGACAGTCGATTGAGAAGCTAAACTGCTAAAATCTAGCTTACTCTTAAGAGTATTCACTGGCCTTCCTGTCTCCAGAAATATCAGGCTGGAACGGTTCACATTCAGCAGTTCTTACCTTAGTCTCCTACACAGGCCAGAAGAAAATCCTAGCAGCCCAACTTCAGTGTTGCAATACTTCTATTTAATAGGTATTTCATACCCATAAGCCAAAAAAAAAAATCCGAATTCTAATTGCACTGCTGATCAAGTGCTTTGAGAAATTACCAACTTCTAGATACCTAGGTCTTGAATTCCTTGAGCATGCTACTCACAGAAAAGAGACATTAACTAACTTAACCAACTTTTCTAAGGGGTTCTGCTAGCTAGCGTCACAGCCCACACACAGGTGGGACATTAAGACACTTGGAGGATCTGAAAGTACTCTGCAGACATACAGCTACGTTGAAATGCGATCACCACTGGGAAGGGAAAACAGAATTGATCCCAAAAGGGGAAAGAGGAACAGAAGAGGAAAACTGTCCATGCCAACAGAAAAAGCAGTGAGAGCTGTATCTCGCATAAAACACAGATTCATAATAAACTGCAAAGGACTCAATTTTCTCCCTCAGACGGATTAAGAGACCTGGCAACAGGGATTTCAGATCTCAGCTGCGTGGTTGAAATGTTCTTACTGCTCTGACCACTGGCAGTATATTGTATACAATACAGAACAGGCTGCAAGGAGCCACAACGGATTAACTCCCTCTCAGGGACTCTTGTGAGAGAGTGCAAAGTCTGAGCAGGAGCATATCCTCAGAATCACTGCAGCCATGCACAGTCACACGGAATGGTGTTAAGTAGGGCGCTTACTTGTCTCTGCCAGGCCTCACTTTCACGCGGAACAAGGCAAATACAGGCCGATGGTCTGAAGTTTTGAGGACAGGACAGGAAGAGTACTTGACCGCATGGATGTCATCTTTGTGCCGACTCCGGTATACAACTCGATCCTGGGAGGCAGAGAGAGATGGGAAAATGATGGTAACTCCCCTTTACTCACCCTGGAGAGAAGCACTGGTTCACAAGAGACAAACGTGTTCGTTTATCGCACCACTTAGTGGAATTAAGTGCCTTCGATAGGGATAAATTCATGAAGATTGTGTGTCTGGTCCTCACGGAACTCACTGAGGGGACATACAGTCCCAGTAACAGTTGCGTGCCCAGCTCTGAGCACAGGGGATAATGTACTATATTAGGCTGTAAGGCAGGGAAAAATAAGATAAGCAGTCTGTGCCAAAGTTTCCCTGTACTCAAGCACCCAACAGTCCTTTCACCCAAACCAGCTCCACATGCCATGTTGCCCTTGAGCAATATTAACTCTCAGCATGACTGTATCTTCTGCAGACCAACTGTGTCAGGGAGCATATCCAAGACAGCTTTTTAATATAGGTAGGAATCCCCTGTGGAGGCACGTATGTGGCTGAACAGCCTTTTTGAGAATGCTGGTATGAAACCATCTCTTACCGTGTAGGATGGAGTCCTTTGTTTGGAAGTGGTGTCATAGCTGTCCTTTCCTATGTCAAACTTGTAGGAAGGATAGAAATGAATGTCAGCCTCTTGGAATCCTTTGAAAATAGACCCTGCAGGAGAGGGGGAGACTAGCATGAACAAACGCCTCCTTCTCCCAAGGACCTGCACTTATTTAACACTACTTAACTATTGGTCGCTAGAAACTGCAGCCCAGTTTACATAGGAGTCAAATGAAAGAAAGAGCAATAAATTGCTTGGGAGATTGCACAACATACACAGCAAAACGCAGAAGTCTCTCCTATTGACTGTCACTGGACTTGACAATGGTTGACTTCTCTTTTTTAGGGAGCTTAACAACAGAAAGCAGTGAAGGTCTTCGGGGAATTGGCTGTAAATATTTGTGTCCCTAGAAATCTTTGTTCCTGGAGGCTAGGGAGAAAAACAGCTGTCCCTCACCCCTACTCATTTCATTAATAAGCTGGTCGTACTCCAGTAGCTTGGACATGTCCTTTTCTAGGTTCTGCTTCAAGATGGAATCCACGGTCTCACGATCCTTATTTAGTCGGAAGTTGAAGTCACCAAACCAGAATACTTCATCAAACCGAGTTGTGACATCACCTGCAAATTCAAGCCAGAAGTGTCAGGATAGAAATAAACATTCTGAAAAGTTCTGAAAGCGGGGAAAAAAAACCCCGAACTCTTCTTCCCTGATTCTCTGACTTTTGAGGAAAATTAAAAAATCTGATGCAGCTACATACTCATTAAAATGAAACTCACTCACTTATTTCAAAATAACAGCTACATTATGCATAGTTAGTACTGAGAGTACTGCTAGCTATGTTTAAGGAACAGGCATAAATTATTTCTTCTTACTACCAAGAGACATAATACTGTATATGTTTTCTGCCTGTGACCATCACAGAATGCGATAGTAGAAAAATAGCAGAAAATGAAGTGTTGGTCTGAAAAACAGACCAAATTTTACCTGTAAGGCCTAAAAACAGGTTGAGCACAGAAACTTAATATTACACTGCAGACGAATAAGTTAGTCTTTCTAGAAAAACGGCTTAGTTAGATATCTAGATGTCATGTTAACAACAGAATATTAAGAGACAACAGTAAAATTTGGCCAACAGTATGTTGACCTCATATATATATATATACACACACACACACATATATGTATATACACATATATATACACACACACCTACATGCATCCATATATATATATATATATAGTTTACCTACATATATATGAATTGAAATAATGTTCTTTTTGCAAGTTTTTAAGTAGTCACTTCTACTAGTTCTAGAAAACACTTAGAAAAAATTGAAACACATCCATAATATTTAAAAAAAAACTTCAAAATTATCTCATTAGCATTCTGAGAGAAAATACATCACATTTTCAGTTTTCTCCCTTCCCCTCCATTTCAGCTTTTTCTCTCAAATCTCGGGAAAAAAAAAAAAGCTCCAGCTCAAAAAAAAACAGGTGGCAACCTCACACAAAAAGACTTGTGGTCTCTTTTCAGCTGTCTCAAAGAAGCAGACCCATTCTCTCTCCTTAGTGTAGGGCAAAAGACAACGCACAAACTCTGTTCACTTGCACTCACGCACAGCCATGGTTTCATGCTTACTAGAGCTGGATCGATAAGGATTTGTGTCTGGAACGTTCTTGGGAAGTGCAAGTGCTTGAATGGTTTTACTGTAGTCCATCTTCCTCTCATTCACTTTACTGTCCCCAGCTGAAAGACAGAAACCCCAGTACTGCCAATGACGCACCATTTTCATTCAACAGCTATTTTTGGTTATAACAGCAACGTCCAAAGGACATTAGACATTTTCTGCATGTAAAACACAATTCTCTGACCTGGGGAGCATAAGGACTAAAAGACAATGACAGAAAGTGAGCAGAAAGACACACAAATACACAGAGTTCATTTTTGTACTTGTTTTGTAAGTTTGCTACAAAAAAATCCCCCTCTCTAATCATTCTAAGCTCAGCAATCTTGAGCTTCAACTTCAGTGTTGTCTTATTCCTGCACCCCTCTGCAACTTTTTGCTCCTGTAAAGCAGTCTTGCTCCTCCCTCGGTCAGGGCATTTCTACCAAGCTTGTAAACGTCTCACATGTGAAGTGGGAGGTAATGAAGAGAAAGGAGGTCCCAAAAAACGTGAAGGAGATCCCCAGAGCTCCCTTGGTTTTGATTTGAGACACAATTCGAGTTGTCACTGTGGCATATTCCACTTCTGCAAGGAGAAAGAGAAGCAGCTGTTACAGAAAAGCCTCTGGAGACAGGGGGCAGGGAAGTCAGGAGACGGACAGTCCTGGGGAAAAGGACAAGACACCTGATGGCAGCAGTCCTTTCACCTCCCCATTCTCCAGCTCATACTGGACCACACACCTGAGCAAAACCAGATTAGGTCCCTTCGAATGAAGACTGACATGTAGAGCACTCCGTGTGCAGCAGAGTAGAGCATGACGTAGTGGGGGCCTAGCGTCTCTTGGAGGCGGATCTCCCACTCTCTTCTACAGGAGAGAACAACAGCTGGATCACAAGAACAGGACCAGAGACAATAAACTGAGAAGGCAAATGAGCACTGGGAGAAGACAGCAATCCCTCTGATGAAGAAAGGCAAGCAAGCGTAAACAGAACCTGCTCTGCCAAAGCAACGCTGTGTTAAAGGCTGATCAGCCTGACGCGTAACCTCCCGTGCGTCATGCAGCAGGCTGTGCACGTTGGTGAGTTAGAAAGTCACTGCACCAAGCAGCTTACAAGTCTGAGGAAAAACATGATCCAGTGAGAAGGTATCTTAAAACAGCACGGACTGACACGAGGCTTCAACTTGCTCTGCTACGGTCAGTCACTCTCAGATAGACTAGAAATTTTGGAGCCACGTGCTGATAACGAGTACAAGGAGCTGCAGGGGAGCTAGCTGACTACAGGCAAACTCTCTTTCAGATCTGTGGTAAGACGCCAAATGAAATCGAACAGGTATTAGCTTCACTGAGAACAGGACCAAGTCCTGAATTTACAGATTTCGTGACATTTCCCCTGGTGCTTATGCAGTGAAATTCACAGACTTATTGACTGGGTGGCTCATTAAGAATACTGAAAATATGACTAAGAATATTTCCAGAATAATTAAGAAAAAAAAAGCTACCAGTTAAGAAGAAAAGAGGACGGTTCATTACACTGCTGCTGCTACCTGTCTGGACAGCCTTCTTGAACCCCAATGACATACATATCCTGGGCATAGTCAGGATCCGTTGGTAATAAGAAGTCATCCAGATTCACTGGAAGTTCCTGTTAAAAAGGGGTGTGAAAGAAGAAATTAGCAATATTAATTATACAATAATTTACTACAGAAGTAGAGGAAAAATCCAGGCAAAGCTACAAGCATATGACAACGATTCAGGCTTCAAAAAAAAAAAAAGGTTACTAGGTCATAACACTATGAAGACAAACAGACAGGAAATACATTTTTACACAAGTAGAAAAGAATATATACGTGAAAATGGAGGAAGTGAGAAATGACCCAACCTAAGTTCTCTTAATGAAGAAAATAATTAGTATCCACTTTACGTTGAACGATGCTCTCTGTTACGTTTTGGGCTCATGCAGAAAAGTGGCTGCTGTAGCTGGAAGAAGGTGGCTACAGACAGACAAAAGTCTGATCTTTGTGGGGCTGGACACCTGCACATTTATTCAGTCCCCCAAGGGGCTGCTTGTGTTCTTCCAAGCATAGCTCCTAAATCAGCCGGTTGAAGCAATCTTGAATTCCTCTGCTATGCCAGGATGTGGGCAGGAGGTTATGTTCTTTACTAGAGATATTCTCTTCATAAGCACTAAACCCTCAATCATCTTCATATGACCCTGATCACAATGGAGAGTTAGGGAGCTGGAGCGGCACTAGCAAGCTTCTCATTGCTTTCATACCTAACATGTGAGGATTCCCATTATGACGACTCTTTCACGAAGCTGAACTTGTGTGAGAGGGTCCTGTGACTTGATAAAGACGACAAACTCAGGTTGACGGAGAACGTAATCATGAACAGGAAAAAAAACATTGCACCAGTCCCTCTAATAAACTTAGGGAAACTTTACCACAGCCACAAGAGTTCTAGAGACTTATGTGCACATACCTTCTGACCCTGCATGTTCCAGGTAGCCACAAAAATTCCAATATTCCGATCAGGGAAATATCTGCTAAGTTCTTCTGCTCCCAGTAAGGCACCGTTTGCCAGAAGGCTGCCTTCCAAGTAGCTTCTGCGAACAGAAGACCCGTAAAAGAGCATCTAAGCAAACAGCATGACTATTGGAATACTGATTTATAATGCTTGAATTTTGTGTTAATCGAGAACATACCTTCAGCTCAAGAAAAGAACATTTATTATTTATATACTGTTCTGCTTGCCTAAAGTTCTTTAATACGTTGCCAATTTTTACAACTTTCAGAAACTCAAAGTTAAAATGTAAATGACTTCCAGGGAAACGCAAAACAACTCAAAAAAGAATTTGGCAAAGGCACCAGGATGTGATGGACCATCTTTCGTGAAAGGTGCTCCGTGACCTGTCACGCTCCCAGCAGTCATGTTCAGTTTGTACTGATGCTATCAGCCAAATCCCTGGCTATCCCCTTGGCACAGAGGAGCTAGGACTGAAGTGGATGTAACGTGCCTCCAGGTTGCCAACTCAGAGGCCCCTTCAGCCATGTGCCAGCCCTTGTCTTCAGTGCACATCGCCCAAATATTCCTCAGCTGGAAACAATCCTTATGGAGTGTTCATGGCTCACACGCAAGAGAGCAGAACTACTGTCATAAACCAGCCTTTTCAAAGCCAGGACGCAGGCATGACAGTGAGAGCGACATTGCACAAGTTATGTGATCAGAGGACTCGAGCCTTCCAGGGTTTTCAATCCCCTAGCGCTTACCTCAGACACAAAGAAAAGAGACTGGTTTGACATTTGAGTATCTTGAAGCAGCTCAGCTTACTTTGCAAACATGAAAACAGCACCACCATTTCCTATGTTCTTGCACTACAGTGTTCCTCATCAAGAACTCAAACTCACATTCTTCCTTCAATTCAGCTTGTCAAATTAGTTTCCAAGTAAAAGCGAGTCCTAGGTCTAAAAGCGTTTCACGTTCCAAATAGACAGACTTGCCGCACACCACCTGCCTCTCTACAGAACATACTGCTTATAAAAGCAAGGGGTATTGGCAAAAGGAGAGCAGGCTGAATAAGCACTTTTAATCTTGCTTAAGCTCTGCAAATAACGATTACAGCATGTCAGGGAATGCTGGGCAATCTACTGGCCTACCCAACCCCTCATCTGACTCTGACAGCTGTTCAGAGGAAAGCACATGAAAATGCATCACTGACAAACGAGTAACAAGCTGTCTTTGGATTTTTTTTTTTTTTATACCAGTTAGTAACACCTTAATTTATCTGACTCAGAATTATTTTTCCTGTATCACTGCCTCCCACTGGTTTTGGATCAATAATCAGACTTACATAATAATCTGCAAGATATTGAGGGGTATCTGTAACATCCAACTTTTAACTGAGGACTTGGTATACTTTACCTTGTAACATGGTTCCTGCCCCATGGTATTGTCAATAATACCTGCTGGAGCGTTTGCGCTGTGTGCTGGGAGGTCTTTACAAACAGAGCTTCTGCAGCCAATTACAAGAAGAGGATTCAATTCACTAACAAGCAGATGAGAATATCTATGTCAGTTCCCTCCAATCAATAATTTAAACTTAACTAATAATGAAGGCAAATGAGCAACCAGAGCTAGAGGAGATGGTCAGGACCGCAGCAGGAGAAAGTGCTGTACTCAGATCTGAGTGGAATCACAATCTTCCTCAAGAGATTCCTAGAGCAGCTGGGGCAGAGGATCTCCTGCGATACACTGAAGCAGCTTCCAGTCCTGTCAGAAGCCAAACAAGCTCCACGCTTGCAGAAGACACTCAGCACCTTACAGGACTGTGGCAGGCACGTGTGTGCAACTACTGCATGATAGCTTCAAGCTGAAGTATTTGCGTTTTCTTTTTCCTGCCAGTTAACATCTCAGTTCCAGCCCAATGTACTTTTCGGTTAAAAAAAGAGTTACTCCCAACCATTAGCACCCACCGCTACTTTTTAATTTTCAAAATAGCTTACTGAGACGTTTACAGGAAAGCTGACAGCAATCTAAATATTTTTTTTATGAAAAGCAATGCACAACACATAGTAGAACACAATATAGAGCATTTGTACTAAACTTTTCATCTTCAAGCTGTTTAAAACTGAAGTTTTCACAGTAAGCTAAACAACACAGAATAATCTCCTCATTTATTCATCAGTCAGAAGTTGTCTGCCTCAGACCAACAGGATTCTGCAGGCAGCTGGCTACCTAGTAACAAATACCAAACTGTCTCTGCCAGGAGAAGCTGGGGAACGTACCTGTTTCGAACATCCTTGGCACGAATAGGAGTGAGCAGGCTGAAGGTAGATTTCATGGAGTCTGTGGAACAATTATCATAGACCATCCCGCTGCCATGGAGCCTGGTGTCACTCAAGCTGCTGCTTACCCTCCCAAACTCGCGCTGAGAATAACGTCGATAATCCATAAAATCTGAGTCAATCCTATTAGCTGTTCTCAGCGCGTGAGAGGCCACATTGAGCTCCATGGGCGGCAGAGGTCGAGTAGGCGTTATTTGGGCCAGCCGGGGCTTGCTGCCCGAGAACGCTTTCCCCCGCAGGAGCCCACCGAAGGCACTGGAGATCTCAGAGGCTCGTTTCCCCAGGTCAGCAGTGCCACCTTTGCTCTTCCCCGCGGGACTTGCTTCTGAGGCATCGGGTGAACTGCGCAAGGAATTCTGCTCGCAGCACTGGTCGCAGGGGGCTGCCCTAGCCCCGACGGCAGGGCTGAGGGACGCGTCCTGCAGAGAACCGTTCGAGGAACTTGTCTCGTTGGGATCGGTCAGGCTTTCTTGGCTAGTTCTTAATCGTCTCCACCTCCTCCAGCTTTTCTCATCCAGAGAGGCCGCACGCTCCAGCCGGGGTTTCCTAGGAGGTCTTGGGGTGATTGATTTGATTCTCATGTTGGCTTTGACTTCATCCGGTAGAAGCTTTAACGTTTCATTCAAGGAGATGCCTACGCTTAGAGGATCTTCAAAGGTAAGTACCCCGCTGTCACCAGCCCCTTTGCTCACTGCTCTGCCAGCTTTTTTAGCTTGCAGGTCCTGTACCGCTCCACCCTCGGTGCTCTGAGTAACACATGCCCCCGAGTGCTGAGAAAATCCATTTAAAGTATTCATTCTCCTGCTGCGTACTACCTACGGATACCGTGCCACGCGGGGAGGTCCTCACAGCATTGTTTTCTCTCCCTTGCTTACCCCGTAGGCTCCCAGAGGCTTTAACCAAGCCAGAAAAAGCACATAGCTTGAAGACAGTTCAGTCTTTAGCTGGGACAGAAGGGAAGGCATATGTCCATGCAGATGCATTGCGGAACACCTGGATTTCCCCCAGAGAAACACAGAAGAATAAAAGCCTGTAGAAAAAACAAGCTCCTCACAGGACCTCCCACCGGAACAACTCAAACCTTAGCAGGACCTTCTTAGAAGAAAACAAGGTTATTTTTCCTTTTTTTTTTTTTTTCCTGGAGTAAGATTAAGGATTAGCTTAGAACCAGCATGAAGGAAGAAAGCATTAAGTCACTGTCACCTTTGGGTGGGGTCGTTTTCAGCACAATGTAGCTGCTGCTTGCCCCTCTCCCTTTCAGGTAAGAATTTGTGCAAGAATGATATTGCTGGGTTGAGCCCCAGCCTAAGGCAGGCTAGTGGCAAGGGGACTGGGACTCATGAGCAAAAGGCCCCATTCTTCGCGCTACTGCAAGATACTGGCAAGTTTCCTCACTGCCTAATGCCCCTGTTTCCACTGCCTATGCAAAATGATACGATTAATGTTGTTATTTCCCTTAGCGCAGGACTTGCATGCTGGAGAAAGATGATATTTTCTTGGACATGCTGCTAGAACTTGACTTCTAGTCCTCATCCCGCGCCCGGCGCAGCGAAGTTTGGTAAAGGTAACCGGGGGCGGGTGACAGCCCTCGGCTCCGAAAGGCCTTCCGTCACACAGACATTTCAAAGGGCAGGTCGAAGGAAAACGCTTCACATTCTTCCCCCTTCCATCCCAAATTTCTGAAAACTCTTACATTAGTCTCCCATTTTGCACATTTCAACACCACCACTTATTATAACCCGGGGTCCAGAAGATGACTGGTATTATCACATACCATGCTGTTGGCAGCAGCACCTACATCTGTTTCTTCCAACAGCGCTCAGCACAGCTCCCAAGGGCGCAGGGGCGTTTCCTCCATCCCACTGTCACTCGCTAGAGCAATAACCACAAGAAGTAGTAAAATGTGAAAGTGCTCCAGAGCGCAAAATATTTTATTTAAGAATTTACAGTGTCAAATCTTACACTTAGGAAAGATAGCCGCTCCCAGCTCAAAGGAAGCCTTCTTGAATTCGGATGTTTGGCAGTCTCTACTGCAAGGAGAAAGCGAGCAGCAGCACGGCGGAACTACACGTCCGACCAGGTCTTAGGTACAAAAGAAAACCATACGGACTGCTGCTGACAGTGTCTGGGATCGAGCATGGACAATTCTGCACAGGTTTCCCACTCCCCCAAACAGTTTTTTTTTTTTTTTTTCCTTCAATTACGTATAAACCTTTTAGAACATAGGTAAGGCTATCCAGATCTCAAACGTGGCATTACTCAGGAAAAGACAAGAAATCAGGGGCCAACACTGGTAATGTCACATTCACGGTATTTTCTACTCATGGGCAGAAATTCAAGTAAAATCAAATAGTTTTGGTGGCAAATTCTAAATAAAGTATGGTTTATGATTTAATAAATATTTAAAGTTTATTTTCTCTCTTTGTGGATGATTCAGATTCTTCAGCAAATATGAATGTTGCATATCATCATGGTTTTCAAGATTTCCTATATTAAACCTAAAGCTCTTAAAGTCCATTGGTAGAGGTCTAATCCACCTACTTTTAGCATGTTCAAAATTTAGCTGTTAGCTATTTAAGACCTTGGTTATTTTAGTAATGGAAATTCAAGAACAGAGTATTACGAACAGATTCTGGCACTCAACAGGAAAAAATTTAAACAACTTCCAAGCTGTTACCACCTTAATTATGTAGTGCCAGCAGTTTGAGAGAAAGCAAGTAACCATATTGCACTTAGAAGAACACTCACTCGTCAAATAGTACAGCATTGGCTATTATACAGAGAGCTTCTTTCGGACTATACAATTTGCTTTACAAGTAGTCTAAACCACGAACTACATACATACTAGATAAGATCCAAATCAAGTTAGTATTAGATTACAGTCACAGTTTTCATTCAATATAGGTCAATTTATTTGGATGAGCTGTGGCCCCCTCTTCCCCCCTCCCCCTTTCAAGAAACAAACTAGCACAAGGCAATTTCCCAGAACATCTTGAACTTCATACCTCGACAAACCAAGTCCTGTTTTACAAGCATTAAAATTGTGCATGGTCCTCTTAAGGCCACAGTGTGTTATATTACAATGTGGACATGTGTGTCCCCCATTGGGAGGGGAGCATCCTTCAGAAATTAAGGAATCCCTGAAACCTATATCTTTGAAAGTCACACTAGTAGGTTTAAAATAAACTTAAGGAATCAATTGCCTATGCAATTTACAAATAGTTTTTGTAACAGACAGCAGCTATTTCCTCCCTTATGTCTATTCTTTACCACAACAAAGCTATTTCTAGCCAGCTTTTAAAGGAAAAGTTACATATATTTCATGTTTGGTAATTATTTGTGTAGATGAGGTGCGAGTAGCGAGACTCATGAAATAAATCACCCATCATTACATTACGGTCATGTCAACTGCAAGCTAGTACTGATGCATGTGCCATAAGATTGAAGAGTTCTTTGTATATTCAGAACAAGAGTGTGAATCCGAATACAAAGCTATTGTATTCTACTTCAACGTTGGATACTTTCTCTGTCCAATTCTTCCCAGCCTTGAACTTCCAGTGACTGCAGGAGACTGAAAAAGGAGAACAGAAATAAAAACCACTCTACAAATAAACTCTCTCTCATAACGGAGACAAAATACAAATAAAGCTGGCAGAAGTTTTTTGATCCGTTAACTTAGACAGAAACTAGACTGTGCACATTTAACATTCTGCATGCAACAGTCCAGATTAAGCTAGTAAAACATAAAATCAAAATGCAAAGATTAAGAGGGCTGACGTTCTGCTTGTCAGGTGATGGCAAACATCAAAGCTAAATTGCATTTTAGAGGTCTGTCAAAGCACCAGATTTTCACAGCAGTACACATTTAAACCTTTGCATTTTTACGGTTCTACCAAGGCATGAGAAACTCATTCTGCAGTAGCAAGAGCCTTGTTTTATGTACAGTTAAGTGTTGCTGTAAAGCAGACGCCCAGCCTACAGTGAGACAGCCTCTTGTGTTATGCTACTTTTTAACCCTTGCACTCTTGGTTTAAGAATGGATGAAAGACCACAGGGCAGCTAACTCCATTACTTTATCTTGCAGAATTCCCAAACGCTATGAAGGCAGGGAAAGCAGGGAGGCAAACCGGGTGACAGAGACTGGATTATCTTAGTAATAACATGTAAGAGCTGTAGGGGATGAGAGCTGACCAGGGAAAAAGAAAAAAGGAAACACAATCACACTATGTTCAAAACTCAGAGAGATGGGAAGATAGCTGGGAGAAGAGAAAGCAAATTTGTACTGCTATTTAAGGCCACACCAAGTTACTTTAAGGGTAGATGTGGATTTAAAGCAGTTAAAGCAAGGTTCTGCATACCTGTGATTTACCCAAGCAACACTTCACAACGTGGCTTAACTCTCAGGGCAAACAAGTCTATAGTTTTGTTTAAAGTAAAAACAAGGCTTTTACTCACTTGTGCGAATTGCTGCTGAAGGTCCCCCTGAAGGTGGTGCAGTGGGAGGCTAGAAAGTAGATTATATAATGTTACAGAACTGCAGAGCTTCACTGGCTCTCAAACTTCGTTTGCTTAGGCACACAAAGAAAATATTCACAGGAATAATGCCAACAGTATGTACATAGCAGCATATTGTAACAACTGCAAAAAGTGCTGGTACGCTTTGCATCCATATCTTTAATATTACTTGCTGAATGTAGGAATTGGCAAAACATCACATGCATAAACTGTAAATAGCTCTGAAAATCCAAGGCATGCAAAACCAAAACAAGACACCAGTGCGATTTCACTGAATTAGTATCTTCTGCTTTTGTTAGTAGTACCTTAGGACTTGCCCCCAAAATAAACATTCTGTGTCTAGTTTTACTTTACTGAGAAGTATCAGAAAGTCGGTGCCACCCCTTTATGGTGACCCTAGAGCACTCAAATCTTACAGCAGAGATGAAGCATTCCTTTAATTCCTACAGGGGCTTTTGCAGATGAAATAGGCAATGATATCATTACTGATTTGAAACTGGCAGCAGCAGTTGGGGGAGTTTTGTTTTGGGTTTCTTTTTTGCATTTGCTTTTTTTTCTTTTTTTCTTTTCTTTTCTTTTTTTTTTTTTTTTTTTTTTTAAATTAACTGACCTCTGGTATCCCAGGAAAGAGCTGATCACAATTACTAAGTGAATCACTTAGAAACTTAAACATAACAAAAAAGGCATGCCTGGATTACGTGCACTCTCATAAATACAAAAAGCTTTGAAGACCCTGTTTAAGCGTTAAAAGGAACACTGCATCATTAGTCACTTTTAATGTTATTTCTGTGAAATGAGGAGAAGGGAAAATGGCTAAAAGTAGCATTAGTAAGTATTTGAGCAAACGCAAAATAAAGAAGGGAAAATAAATAAGTTAACATAAATGAGAACAGCCAGCCACATGTACCTGATTAAAATGCTGGCTTACTTCACGTGATAATGAACTCATTGAACTAGAGCGCGAAAGCTACAAAACAGCAAGAACACACAAATACAAAAAAACACAAATAAAAAAAGTCATGCATGTCACTGCCCCAAGCTTTCAGTTGTTTTATTTAATTTTAAAAGTCTCACTCTGCCAAAGGTTAAACCAACTTCAAGTTAAAAAAAATTGTAGAGCCAGAAGTTAGTTTAAATCAAAAGGACTTCTTAAAGCACAAAATTATGTAGATACAGAAAACATTTAGTAGGAACAAAGGTAATGTTACTCTGCCTGGCACACAGCAATCTAGTCTCCTTTTTGTGCCTCGCATTTAATATTAGTGAAATTAAATGCATGCATGGAGGCAAGAAGAGACCCTCAAACTCTTAACTTGACATTTCATTCTAGAAAAGGCTTGTAAAAGTCTACTTATATAGAACAAGGAGATCGCAACACAAAAAGACATGGAAATTGAACTTTTCATGTAGACTTAGAGGTCTTTTCTGTACAGTTTTGGAGGCAGTCATGTTTCCACCTCAGCTACTCATCGTCAATTGAATCAGTCACTCACTGTTTTAGATGGCCCAGGTTAAGTCTACTACAAATTAATGGTTAAAATATGCTGCAGTAGTCATTAGCTAACTACTATGAATCAAGCCTTACCTCGCCTGACTGGGAGCCATCAGGGTTGGAAACAGGAAGCCCAGATCCAGGTGGAAGGATTGTAGGGTTTAAATACTAAAGAAAAACAATGCACCTTTGTTTTATCTTTGCTACTGTATCTTAAAGACCCGTTATGATGCTCTTTCACATTTCTGCTGTATTGATCCCACTGAAGCAAAAAGATGTTACAAAATACAAGCCTAATATGACTACTTCCTATATCCTTGGCTCCTTATCTGACACACTGCATACATGGAACTTGGCAGCACTGCCAAACTTGGAAATGCAACTTTTAGTGAGCTTCCCACTTCCATTTTCACTTGTGTTTCCCTTCCTTGGTTCTTCAGTTAAGTTCTAGGGATTATATTTATGTACAACAAGTTCTGTAAGTTCTACAGCTATGAAACTGCTATTGAGAATCATGATTTTTTTTTTTCTAAACAAAATTTTGACCTGCATATACATGACATTCTAACCCACCTCTGGATCAGAAGCTGCAGCAGGATCTGTGTTGGTCTGATCTGCAGCTGATGCGTGCTGCTCTGCTGCTCCACTGCCTTCCATAGGCTGGGGTTCCCCTGGGACTACAGAGGGAGCAGGATATAACCAAACACATTATATCAGGGTATTTGACTTGACAGGATGAGAAGGAGGGTCATCAGCAGAAGTGAATTTCTACAGTACCAATCTTCTCCCAGGAAAAGAGATAAATTTAAAGAGGACAGTGCTAATGTCTCCAGATGCTTTGGTCTTGCTACAAAAGCAGGAGACGCATACAGCACGTACAGATAACCTTGCTTATCCGCATGCAGTATCACTACATGTAATACAGCACGTGGTGAAAGCAAAAAAACAGATTAGCAAGCAAATGTGCAGGTAAGACATTCCCTTCCCTTCCTTTCTCCAAATAGCAATCCTGGAACTAGAAACAGATGCCAGAAGGGAGTAATAGATACTTGGCACGGTAGGAATACTGCACAGTTCAAATTTTCCTTTTTAGATGGCCCAGCTGCTCTGCCACAACAAACCACCCTGTGGAGCGCAGAATTAGGCTTTGTTAATTTGTTTTACTGCAGTTTGCACAGTGATTTCTCTAAAAAAAAAAAAAAAGAGAGTTAACAAGAGTGCATTGAGTTAACAAGTGTTCATTAAAGGCTACATAATACACAGACTGGCAAAAGGTACTCTGAAACATCCTTCTCACAAGTTTATCCATTCATGACACACCTGAGTTTGGTACAAAGAGGTTTGCAGGGATTGGCATCGGTGCCAAAGGAGCAAATAGGTCTGATGGGGCAGGAACAGCAGCACTTGACTTAGTTCCGCCTGGATTCAGGACATCAACATAACGAGCTCTGCTTCCTGCTAAAACAGAAAAATCCAGAAATAACAGAAATAAGCCACTGTATTAGTCACACCCTTGCCTACTTTGAACAGTCAGCTGATTACACCATCTTTCAGAATCAGAAAACGATGCCCAGAGGATGCAAACAGTAACACCTAAGTCACAAAACAATTGCGATAGCAATCACAATACAGAAATTTTGCACCAGCAAAGTCAACATCGGCCACAGCTCCATGGCATCAGTTGCCAACTGTTCTCAAACGCTTTCAGAAGAGCCAAAACTTCTGGTTTAAGACTTTATGCAAGAGAAAGCCCGAAGTCTTCCACACTCCAAGCAGTAAAGCTGACTATTACCTGCTCTTCTGGAGAACATGTTGACAGGAGCACTAGGTGGGCCACCAGGTCCGGGTGGAGCAGCCTGAGGAACTTTAGGAAATCCTGCTGGAGGTGGTGGTGGTGGTTTACTCTGCAGGGAGAACAACAACAACAACAACAATCCAACCACATTTGACTGACAGTTTTAAAACAAGCTTTCAGCTGACTTCTCCTATTCCTTATCTATTTCAGAGCACGTAAAATTGGATATATGGATATAAATCTTGTAGCGCAGACCAACCCTCAACTTTTTAAATCTGACAAGTCCTTATCTAACCTCAAGGAACTTTACAAACCATCTACAGTCACAATAAAAGGAGTATCCACACCAGCGGTTCTTATTGTTTGTGTTTTGAGACAGATCTAGAATACTTGACCTTGAAGGACAAGGATGGACAGGATGGCTGACTCTTTGCTTCAGCATGCATTGCTTTTTCAAAATTACAGACTTTTTCCTCCCTTTTTCCCCTCTATTCTGTGTGCAGCAAACCAATTGACAGGCAATTGTCTAGGTGATGTCAGCTTCTACGAAGAGAAACGCTGGACTAAAACTTTGAGTAAATTCATTTTTAAATTCTATCATAGTTACTGGACCCAGACACACAAGTAACTGAGGAGAGAAACGGTTCCAGAAAGATGTAGCATACAAAAACGTGAAACCTGCTTATTAGTTTCCAATGTTGCACATTTTAATTCAAATTCAGTAAGATGCTGCTCTTAAGAGCCAAAAACAGGTTACAGAAAATTGTACGTAAGTACGGATTTCACCGTTTTCCACTTGGGCAAACAAAGTCCTCAGATTTTTACCTCTTCTTCTGGTTCATCCAAATTAACCCAGCGTTGTTTCTTTTCATCCCAAACAATCTACAATGAAATCACAGTTAAAGGTTAGGTATTCAACTAAAGCTGGTTAGGCAAAAAAAAAAAAAAAAAAAAAACCCACAAATTAAAGGTCTTTATAAAGGTCTTTTTTGTAAAAAGCCATCTCAGAATAAGGATAGTTTTGAAAATTTTGCATGTAATAACATTTGCTTACTTGTTGTCAAAACAACATTCACTTGTCATCTAGAAAAACGACTTGAACAAACTTAAAACATATAGAGGTCTTTTGATTTAGGGGCCTTACTGATTTGTTCTTGTCATCTGGAAGGTAAGCTTCATTCTTTCCTTTTCCCATCAGCCAGCGAAGCCAGTTTCCACCAGTCTAAGAATAAATACGTCTAGTTAATTCTCTCAATACTCTGCTTACAGCAGATGCAAAGAAAAACTCACTGTAACAATTCATTTTCTTTTAGCGTCTTCAACTGCAAGCCCAAGGAGTTGTAACAAAACAAAATAAACAAAAAACCCCCCAAAAAGAAACAAACAGGAGAAAGATGCCCTCAGCTAATCCAAGTTATACCTTTTTGATAGAGGGAGACGAGAAGGGCAGAGTCAGAGCTGATACACCTCAAATAAAAAACTAGGAAGTAAGAGCCAGCATACACAAATGAAGTAAAGAGGGGAATAAAACAAGGACTGTGATCCTAGGATTAAATCCACTGCGGTGGATGAGGAGGTGGGGGGAGGGTAAGAGAAGAGGTTTGATTGGTTTTAGTCAAGGAAAGTGACTTTGAATTAGCTCCCAATGTAAAAAAGCAGCTAGCAGAGCAATGCAAGTCATATTCCAGCACGGGTACAAGGCAGTAAGTGGTAGCACTCTGTACAATCTTGAATTTGGATATATGAAAACAGTGACGTAGAAGTTGCAATAGCAGAAACAAAAGTAGGACCTGACAGTTTACTCAGGGCACTGATTTATCACATATACTAATAATCCCCTTTAGTTATAGATACCTTTCTTATCAAGTTTACCTTTCTAGGTGCTGGCTCCTTCTTTATCTCTTTTTTGGTCTCTTTCCTTTCAGGAATGGATGGAGGAGGAGAGGGCTGTTTTGCTGCAGAGTTGGATCTCTCTCGTCCCACAGAATGGACAGAGGACTCCGAAGTGGTCCGAGATCTTCGCCCATAGCCCTGTATTACAGGGGAGTACAAAGTCTTCACTACTGGAGTGAATGGATTACGTTTCATTTTGCTAAACAAATTCCTTTGAAAAGTTAGTAACAGGAGGAGATACAAAAGCTCCAGTAGAAAGTAAAACAGACAAGAACAAAGATTTAGTGAAAGAAACAGCCTGCTCACGGCATACCCTAAGTGCTGAAGACTGAGATGCAGATCTGGACCTTTGTCCTGGGGCTTGGTTAGATATAAAGCCAGCACATATTTAATAAGCAAGCAGTGTTAAGTATCTGTCACAACATTCTTTTTATTACCATTTCCCACACTATACAAGATGTTCAAGCTGGTTATTTGAGTACTTCTGTGTCCTCTGACAAGTATGAGGCAGAGAAAAAGAAATGAAGTCTGGTTAAGTAGTTGCTCTATCGTGTAACCGGTCCGTTAAATAAATGGTTAACTCAAGGCACTGCTATACAGCTTTATCAGCCCATGAGAGGCAAGGTAAGACAATGCTGTACTGCGGCAAAAGCCAAAAGTGGCTGCTGCATTCTATTTTTCAACAGTAGGTTGTTCCTCTAATGTTCACATGGCAACTCTAGCATTAAGAATTTCACTGCTGCTTTTAATTGGAATAGTTAACTTCCAGTTAAAACACTCCTCAGCCTTTATCAGTTGCTAAACATCCCAAATAAAAATGTTTGTTTCAATTCTTTTAAACAGTTGTCACTTCAAGAGACTAAACTAACTCTCCAGGAGATAACTTCAGTGATATTTAAATAGTGAAAACAGTATACGCTTTAAAGGTTTTGGCATTTCGATAAACGCCTTCCACTTTACTAGTCATGACTAAATGCAAGTCAATACTGTGCTTTTTAAAACTCAGCCACAGAACTGGTCACTACGGTCTGGTCATCTCACTCACTGATGCATGCCACAGAGCTTCCCGACAACAGAGGATCATTTTGGGAGGTGGGAAGGCAGGTAGAGAAAGAAAAAGGAAATTCTCCAGACAACAAGCTTGATTTTCCATCTACTACTACTTTTCCATTACTTTTTATTTTTTACTTTTAATAATTGCCTTAAAGGAAGAAAAATCAGGGCTAAAATTTATCTAGTAGTTCTTCATTATTTACTCCACCGGGGGTAGGGGGAAGGAGAGAGGAGGAAAAAAAATTAAGCTTTGAATCTTGCTGCCAGAGACCATTATGGAATGCCCCAATACACTTTGGGCTTGCAAAGACCAAGAATAATGCTAACGCTTGCTGAAGAAATGTATGAAATAAGAATACCATGGTAGCCATTCTGCCATAGAAATCCTCCTCTCTCTGATCCGGGAAAGTGTTTCGTGAAGGAGACTCTGGGGCAATTCTTTGCATTCCTTAAAAAGTAAAATTAGATGATGTTAATGAAAACACTTTTTTAAATGCAAAATTTTCCACTAGTTAGGAGTCTTGTGCTGTAAAGAACTTGAGCTTCTAAAGAACACGTACTGAAGTTGCTGTGATTTTTTTTTACTGGATGGGTATTAGGTTTGTTCTAAATACAGGTCAGAGCAGGTCAAGGGATGCAACCATCAGTATGGAGCAGTATAAGGTCCTTCGCATCTCTTACGCAGCTCTGACAAGTTGCGTACACCTGCCTTACATGTGAGAATTAAAATTCATCAGGGTCCTTGAAGATGATATCCAGAGGCAGAACTCCCTGAAACTCCAGTCACAGACTTTGCAAACACAACTGCCAACGCCAGTTTATTCAGTGACTCCATGAAACAGAAAATTACCTGCTGGGACTAAACCATAATTTGAAGATTTTAACCTCTCTTTTAAGCTATACCCAATAGGCAGGATTAATACTAAAATTTTTCTTACAGATTTTCTGTAACTTCCTATTTTCTTTAAGGTTCATTATCCAAGACTTGATTCACTATTTTTAAAATACTGAGATGTTCTGCACTATCCCCTTAAATATTTTATTTCCTTTAGAAAAGGAAAGGGATTTACAGAGATGTCAAACCTGTTTCCTGGTTTGCAGGCTCTTCTGACCGTGGTTCAGTTTCTTGCGGTGGCCCTCCTGGTGGTACTGTCGACCCCAGATAGAGCGGGGATGGTTCAGCTCCATACTGATTTGGAAATCCTGGAGGTGCAAAGCCAGGTCCTGGACCAACGGGCAGAGGACCCACTGAATAGAAAGGGACACTTCGAACAGCTTCCTGGTCAGCAGGAGGAATCATAGCAGCCGACCCATCAAGGATCGTCTGAGGTGCTGCAGCAGAAAAAAGTTAGAGGAGTTTTAACTAAATGGAAGTTCCACCGTGTGAACCTTTGCCAGTTAAACGATATAACACAAGTGACATCTCACTGTTTCCATGACCCTCTTAAGAGGTTTCTTATACTAGAAACCCAAATGTTAATTTTCTTCCCTTTGTCATGAAGAAGGATATGAAACACTAACCTGAAGGCATCAGCTGCACACTTTGCATCTGTTGTGCCGTACCAGGCAATAAGGATGCTAACAACGCGTTTTCTGTACCAGGACCCATGTCATGGCCGACCCCTGCTCCATCACACTGACTGGCACGGTCTAATTCAGAGCTTGGTGTGCTACACGCATACTGTTGTGGGGTGGATCTGTCTGCGTTATAAGCTATTGCACCCTCCTGCACAAGAAAGCAAGGTCTTGTTAACTCTATCAGATTATGAGTTCATAAGCAGGGGAACACATAGCAAGGAAAAAGCTTAGAGTGAAAACAGCACAGATAATTTGATAGCGTTTAGCCAGAAAAGTTAGTTGTAAGCCATTTGTCAAGTTCAACCAAAACACTTAATGAGAAGTTTTCACAGAAGTTAATTAGATCGAGCTTTCAAGTTTCTAACAGACCTTTGTAAAGAAACGATATACCTTCCCTTCCGTTTTCTTTTTTCCTTTTTTTTTTTTTTTTTTTTTAAATTTACACAATCTAGCTACACTAATCCACACACAGCTTCCTTTTTCTTTTTTTTTTCCCAGCAAGCAGAGCCTTTGTTTAGTACAGGAGTTACTACAACTTAATAAGCCTTCCAATTCTCCTTGCACTAAGTGCTAAGGAAAGTCTCTCACATAATGTACACCATCCTTTAACTATTCTGCAATGAATCTTAGGGCACTAAAGTATGATACATCCACTTGGTTTAAATCATAACATTTGCGTTTTACAAAGTGACCTTATGATATATTCATTTCATGTTTCTATAACTAGTAGCATAAACAAAAACATTTTAAAATTTGGATCTACATTAAACCTTAAAAGGTAATACATCATCTTGGTAAATACATTCTGTACCTTGATCTGTCCATCCACATGTCGAAGCCTTACTAACCATGAAGGTTCAATAAAGGATTCTTGTTCTGGTTTCTCTTTTATCTGCGGGTCAAACAGGCGTAGTTGTGATGACATCTAGAAGAAGAAATAATTGTAAAGTTTAACTTAAACAGGCCAAAAAGAAGGCAACTTTAGTCACAACTTATAACCTACAATATGAAGCCATAAATACTTAATTCTGAAAAACATTCATCCATGTTACCTGGATTAGCTGGCCAATAAGCACAGGTGAATAGTAATGCGGATCTTTAAGGACAGTTCTGGAAATTACTTCACAATAATGGAAAGCTTGAGCAGCAAGTCCCATTTCAGCTAGGCGGCAAGCATAGATGAATTTGAAAACCTACAGAACGCAAGTCGGTGAAAAACTAAGTGATCAGAATATTCTTAGAAATATCAAATGAGAGAGTTTGTCACTTCAGTCCAAAGTTCAGATATCCCATTGTATCTATTCTAGGTAGATAAAGAAAAAAAAAAAAAAACAACCCCAACCTCTCCCCACATTCAATCCTCTTCTTCCACCCAATGTATCCTATGGGAGTAATCTATCTAGCACAAACAAATCCCACTGGATTTTTCTTTTGGGATATAGATTTATGATAGCAACAGAATTTACAACTCCCAAGTGCAGATGCATAGATGAAAACAGAAAAAAGGCTGATTCAGTGACAAACAACAGAGAAATGCTACCCTGCACAACATTACCTACGAGAATATCAGTTTAGAACGGATAAAATATTTTCTATGCGGGATACAGCATACGTGAGATACGAACAACTGACAAAACTTGCCAAAATAAAGTAAGAAATAACTCTTCACCTGGAAATTGGGTAAGCAGGCAGGCTGAGTTCCTAGTGACTGAGCATATTCATAGGCTTCTGTTCTTTGAATGGCTTCATTGGTGGCAAACTTAAAAAAAGGTAAGCTGTTGGGGAACGGGGGAAGGAAAAATATGAATTGACATTGAGAGTATATATACTGTCAACAAATACAGATCTGTAAATTTGAAATAAAATGAGAAGCAGCGCTATTAGACCCACAGCATCAATAACTTCCGCTCTTAAAACAAGGAGAAGTCAAAGAGTTATCGCAAACAACCGTGGTTAGTGATGATAGCAGGAGCACTGCCACTCAGTCCCTCAAACTATTAAGCTTTTATTTTCATATGTAAAAAGTCATTTTTTTTTCTTTTAGAACAAATTAGGGGGGAAAAAACCCTAAGCCAAACCTATGATTCGATCCAATTAGGACAAGCTTTGTTGTTTTCCTTGTATAAACTCCAAATCCGACCTGGGCCATAAGGTAACAAAAATGAGCAGCATCCAGAAGGCCTTTAGAAGCTGTAGAAAAATAAGAGACAGAACTCAGAACATTCTCTCTCAGTGGCACATCACAATTCAGTGTCCCGTATTGTTTTTGCATTCGAATATACCTTCACAATACAGACAAAGCCCACATAGAACTTCCATTTTACATTTTAAGCAGCAGTTGTTTGTTTCCAAAAAAAAGTAAGCTCAGCAATTCAAATTTTCAGTTCAATCGTCACCCTGTTCATTCCCCAAGAGTTACCAAGAGTGTCTCCCATGGTAGCAATAGTCCTGGATTCCAAGTCCATGTTATTGGTCAAGTTGGATAACACCATTGCTAGATGAGGCCTCCAATCTCCCCATTTCTCATCTCCACAGCACTAAAATTAGAAGAATTACTTAGTCACAGCAGTGACTAGAGCTCTGCATATGTAAGTGTTTCAACCCAAAAAGGACTAAAACAACTTATCTGGCGCTCTAGGAAAAGCACATGAAAAGATTACCATTGCGAACTACACTACTCACCACAGCACTTATATTTAAGTCTGAACTGCAGCTTCAACTTGAATCTTACCGTGGATGCAGCTGGCATCCTTCCAGACATGAGCTGGTAAACAGTCTGCAGAGGGTCATTAATTGGGAGACTGTTGGCAAACCTACAGAGACATTACACAGAAAAACAAAAAACAAACACAGGGTAAGCAGTTAAAACGTACTTGAACACTCAGTTTATCTAGCTTAGTTTTTGAGAAGGAAGAGCAGTTTGAAGAGACTAAGCAATTGCCCAGTGGATAACGTTCAAAACCAGAACATAATTAACTAACTGGATCTGCCACTCCGACATATGTCAAACCAAGCTAGGAAAAAAATCTCGTGATTCTCCCTGTGCCAGCTGACTAGGCTCAGTACACGCGTGCACAAGCTGAGGAAACAAAGTTTAGCTGTCTACAGACAAAACATACATGAACACATTGCTTCTTTCAGGCGGGGAGAACGAAGGGTACACCACAGAGTTACTTTGCTTTAGCCAAGTTGACAGTCGGTTCTTGCAGTTTTCTCAAAGCCTGACCAACAGCACCCATCTGGCAGGCCCACTGATGACATTGTTTAAATGCCCCTTGAAAGGAAGCAGTGGCATAGAATAACTTTTCTGGCTGAAGTTTACAGTCAGAAGACCCTCCCCCCCCACCCCAAATAAAAAGCAACAGGTGACCTGAGTCAACTGAACATACAGGTAAAATGAGAGAATCCTTGCATGAGCTATTAAGGATAACCCATAATTTTGGCATCAAGATTTCTGACCACCAGGCCTCTTCCTCAGTAGCTGAATAGACAGTTCAAGCTGTACTAATCATCAACAAGAAAAACACTGTACCTGGTCATAACTCTTGCATGTGTTCTGCTGTCCATTTTACTGGCAAGTAGCAGAGCATGACCCCATAAACCATGCTTCATGGCCGACTCCAAAGCATCCTAATTGATAATAGAAATTCGTTTACTGGGGAAAGCTTAACGTACTATTCAGATAGTGATTGTTTTATGTTATTATCTTGTGACTGAATGAAAAATGTTTGCTTAGGTGAAATGCTAGCACATTAATATAAGTTTGTTTTAACTTTTAAGCTCTATTGCAGGACATTTTTCAATTAGTACAGTGCCATGAAATATTATACAGACAGCAAGTTGCAAAAATGGTTTTCACTGATGTTTAAAGCTTAGAGCTTTAAGATCTATGCCCGAAAATTAAGTAAACAAAACCCACATAATATTTGAAACTGCAGCATAAGCATTTACCTTCTTACGGCCATAAAGCAGCAGCTCTCTGAATCTCTCTGTCTCTTTCTCAAGACTGTCAATTGTGGTTATAAGACTATCTGTGAGAAACGAGAGCTGGGCTTCACCAGATTCCTCTTCCACTTGTTCCAAAGCCTCATTAGTGAAATCAATCAAATTTGCTTCATTAGGCGACTTCCCAGGAAGCCACACGGTTTTATGATCGCGTAGCAAAAGTTCAGCCAGGTCTGTTCCCACTACAGTCTATACATGGAACAAAACAAAACAAAAACAAAACAAGAAAACCCCAATCATATTAAGGATATTGCAATTCTAGTATTCAACACTGTCTTCATTTTGTCACTTCAACAACAATGGGTAAATACCAGTCCTCTGAGTACCTGAAGGCAAGCAATCCGTTCCCCTGTTCCGCCTATCAGTGAATTACCCCAAGATAAGTCACTAGACAAGTTTCTACCTTTTATATGAATACATAAATAAATTTTGCATATAAAATGTTTTAGGATAGATAAAAATTCAAACAGTAAGACATACCCCATTCTGCCTGCACAGCAGTACAATGAAGTCCCAAAGCAGACTTGCAGATTCTTTGTCAATTAAATTTTCATTCTGAAAGCACTGTGTAGCTTTATTTTGTGCAAAATTAATAACATCCACCTTATGGGTGTCATCCCTGGGTGGGGGGGGGTGGGAAAAAAAAGAGGCGTTCAATGAGACAAATATAAAACAGTCAGATCATTACTGCAAATAGTATGAGGAACTCATTTAAAGCTCATGTATTATTTAAGCAAGTAAAAAGTGATAAATAAAATTTGAGTCTCTCTAAAGCCTCTAATTTATGGGTATTTGAAATTTCAATAAAAGAAGTGAAATTTGAAAGCATAAGTCACTTAAAATCTGTAAGAACATACTTAGCAAGAGGACCAGGAAACGCTCTCATTTCTTCTTGCTCTGGAGAATGTTGTAACATAGTCTGAAACACAAATATAAATAACAAGAAATTCTTACAACTATGAATTACACTTTTTAACAATGGGGGGGGGGCCTGGACCTAACCTATAGTGTAATCAAGGCCACTGCTCTTGAACAAAATACCTACGGCAACCTGCAAACTGCACACGGATAATAAATCTACTTCACATGGGAAGTCGTTCTGTAGCATCACTTTTCTGAAAAATAAGTTCAGGCTTAATACGAACATTTTTCTTAATGTTACCTCCATACTGTGTACTTCAACCAGAGCTGGCTGTCCTTCCGAAGGCAGGTTTGGCAACACTTTTATTAAGTATCCCCCAGGACCAAACCTAGCGCAGACGTGAGGCACTGAAAATTTCTCAGGTGTTGAGGGCCTTAAGCGTGCTGAAGCAGGGAGAAAAGATAAAATAAGAAGCAGCAATCGGACTTGCAACTGCTTAAACTTACTGATGTATTTATCCAATTCAGTAATCTTGTGGTACTAGTGGGGAAAAAAAAATCTGCCATTTTATTTGGCAAACCGTATAAGCAACCGTTAATCAATTTCACTATACTCCCAAAGATCTTTCAAGGATTTGCAATTGCAAAGACAAAATTAAAGTTCCTTAAAATCCACTGATTTTTTCAGTGTAGGGGGCTTTGTTTGTTTGTGTCGAATGCATTTCTGTGATCTCTATACATATATATGATACATCTTCAAAGAGCTAACGATATATTTCAACATACTCTGTAAAACTTTTTCCTTAGGAACAGCGCCTCATTCAGTGCAGAAAGAGTAAGAAATTTTATGGAAAAATCTGAAGTTAAATTCTAATCATTCCCATGAAGCACAAGCAGCATAGTTCAGAATCTGTCTAGTCTAAAGAGACATCTACAAAGGCAAGTAGGCAATACTTAGTAGCAAACACCATCTAGCTACTGCTGTTCTGTGATATACTCAGATTTCAGCAAGCAAGGTATTAACCTCATGCTGAAAATAAAAAATTTTGCTCAAAACTACTATGAACAGTGTTTTTCCTGTTAACAGGCTTAATGAACACATGAAAAGAATCTTACATATAACAAAATATTTACAGAAGAACAAACTATTATTGGCAGACAACTGCACAACCACAGTACCTTCCTTCCACCTCCCCCATCAGTGCAAATACCTTGTTCTACAGTTGACCATCCAGTTTCGGTTGGGTAGCCATAATCTGTAAAAGGCTGTTGGCCATCAAAGTTAGCAACATATCCGCCATATGGATAATCTGTGTGGAGCGACACGGCCTGCGCAGTAGTTTCATATGCATTAGCCGTTAGATCATGATTACTTCTATACAGCTGGCTCTAAACAGATCATATTAGTAATTGTTAGCAGAGAGTGAAGTTGCATGAAGCAAGCAATACAGCAAACATGACTCAAGAGGCTGTAAGCATTTTTTTCCTCCCATTTGGTTTCTTTAGATGGTTCTTAAACCAAGCTTACCACATCACTGCAAAGGACTCACACCTGGGAAAGCTATCCTGCAAGCCACCTGGTGCAGCAGGCTACGGAAGATAATTAGCATCTCTTAGTGTTCTCCCTCTCAGTGTTTTCATATGATCTGTTCACATCCAAACGCATTCAGTTCTCTCACTACAGAATATATACGTGCCTTACGTCAAGGACGGCACTGTGACTTTCAGCGTGAGTTGCTGCTGTATCAGCCACCATGGATCAGAAGCAAGAGTGTTCATCTCTGCTGCTACCCTTTCTTGACAGAGGAAATCTGACCCGAGTAAGCCTAATGAACATCTAGCTGACTTAAGGTGACTAAAGATTAATGCCTAAATGACCTCCAACACTACTTCCGATATTATTCAAAAAACAAGAGTTCAGACTGGAAAACCACCTAATCTTCCAGCAGACACGATGCACTAACATGTAAGACTACAGTTTAAAAAGATGCATTTGACTAGAGCAAAGACAATTCACTTGAGTATTCTCTGTATTTTTCAGGTATTTGTATTTCGGGCATAAGATAGATGAATAATCAGAAGTTAGATTTGGTTTTGCTTTTAAATGCAAGATGGTGTCATACAAATGTTGAGTTAGTCTTCTAACAGATTGCAAGTTCAGTATTAGCTTTCATGCTTGTGATGAGAAAAATGATACAACACTGAAAGCCAGACACAGTATCAGCTACAGCCAAGCACAGTAAGGGCAAGGTTCTCACAAAGAGCAAATGGATACAGTAGAGGAAATTTTCCATTTCTGTATGTACGGCAACTTGCCCGCACAGCTGAGTGCTGATTTTGGTTAAAGTTCTCTTGACAACTGCGATAAATATTTAAGTTCAAAACTGTATTAGAAAGCAGTCTTAACTTACAGAATAAGAATCGTCAAAATGCATCTTCCCCCAGCCAAAACCAGAATTTTTGTACAATTTCTCACCCACCCCTAACAGAGGGGGAAGGGTCACAGAGATTAGTTACTAACCCTGCGCCTACGACTAGCTCAGCTAAAACAAAATACCTGATGTGCCCTTTTGAAACTCACTTGTTGAGAACGAGAACTAAAACTGCTCTGGTGACTGTGAACACTACGGGAGCTACGGAGACTATGAGCAGAACGTTCACTATGGACACTGCGTCTGTCAAATTCATCACCATATAGATCTCTGTGAGGTTCAGCTTCATCATCAAAACTTCCAGCAAAACGAGGATCATACCTCCAGTGATCTTCATATTGGTCATGTCTGAAGAACAAAGAAACATACAAAGCAAAAATAAACACAATCACCAATATCCTAGAGGAAATCAACTTCGCTGCATACCTAAAGAGAAAATTGTACTTAGCCTCAGAACAGCTTCCAGATTATTTCCTTGACTGAGGTTTTTATTACAGTAAACCAATTGACATTGCCTCAAGAAGCTCATCCACAATATTCCAGATCAAGACTATCATTCTCCAAGCCTGTTCTAAGAACACCCAAAGAACGTTTACCCTATCTGAAAACAAGTCTATTGGCCTTCAATCCTTCTCCGAAGAGTGACATGACAGTTCATTTTTTTTCCTCCTCAATTTCCTTTGTTAAAGGAAGAACCAGCAACACACATCTGTGAAATATTTGTAATAACACATTTTAATAGTCTGTCACAGGCTGTATCTGATCTCCTATGGTACATTATTGTGAGCATTTTGTTTACAAAGCTGCGTAAGCATAACATACTGAAATTCTGAAGTGCGGTGCAACTATCACAAAAGTCCGTAAATTCTGAAAGCTTTGGGTCAGATCTTCAGCAAATAAAGAAATGTTTCTTTTAGCACACAAGCAAAGCCTCAGTCCTTGCCTTAACACTTACCACCATAACCTAATTTCTTGGTGGCACATTTGACTACGACTCATCCCTGAAGAAAGTAACGCCAGATTCTCCCCCTTCACTCGCACTTAATCACCGTTCCTTTGAACGTTACAGTACCTAGGCCCCACTCTGCCCTCGATCTGGAAAGAGCATCGGCAGGACACGAATTGAATGGACAAACCTGTTACCGTATGGATATGCTTCTCTCTTTTGGTAAGGGTTGTGGTCAGCATCGTACCAATACCTTTGATCATAACTTCTAGGATCTCTGTATCTGTGGTCATAAGCTGAGGAATAGCGATCCCAACGACTTGGATCTTTGAAAGGTGCAAAGAAATGGTTTAGTTATTTGAAGACATTACTTACAACTTTTCTCAACTCCTTTCTGTTTAGTTACGTGCTGATCTGGTCAGCAGCCCTGAAGCATATAAACAAAACCAAAATAACATACTTAAAGCTGCGTGAGCATTTCCATTCACTTTTACTTATTAGATGAGTTTAAAAAAATATATATCTATTTCACATCTGTCAGATAAACATTGTTATTATATACTTAGCTAGACACTCTTAAGCGGACAGTCCATCAGATAGACCTTCTCTAACAACTTTAAAACTTAGTAAGAACACTATAACACTTCAACAAAAATGTATACCATCTTTGCTGCCAGTCTTTAGAGTGCCATGCTAACCATCTTAGAGATGGACAGATCCTCCCCAGCACTATCCAAGCAATTATCTTCAGATTACCAACTGGTATGTCTCTGTGAGCATTCAGATAACTAAGGACAAGGCCAAATTCTGGGCACGAGTCAATTCCCGTTTACGTCACCCATCTAAATTTTACTTTACAAGTCTGGCCACAGGCAACAGGCTAAGGATAAAAGCCAGTGAATGACAGACTTGCAACACATTGAAGAAAATCATTCTGTACACTAGCTGTGGTATGCTTCCATCACAATTGGGAAAGGTAAAAATACAAGTCTAGTAACAAGGAAAGCGGCTCGACTTATTTTCTATTTATTACTTGAGCTGAACAAAAAAAATTACAGGATGGATAGCACACTGCTCAGAACTAGGGTAGTCCCAAAGATGAATTTTCAGCAAGCGTAACTTTATTCTCATTAGCTGTGGAAGAGAAAAATTTTAATATAGAAAAAATGTAATAAGGCTTGATTTTAAAGTCAGTCTTCCCCATAAAACTGAAACAGCAGTTCACTATAGAAAAATTTAGAGCATTTTGACACCTTACCTCCGTAATCATAAGAGTTTGAGTAATAGCCTGGATAATAATCACTCCATCCACTTTTTGTGTAGTAATCTTCAGTATACCCCTGCCTGAAAGAAAGCACGCAGACAGAGTTATCGTTCCTCCTGCAATCCCGGTATTTTCTCTCCCAAAGTCAGCAGGTGATATGCCGAACTATAATGCCACAACTGGACAGCTAGAGTATCAAATTTAAAATAATGCACTTACAGGAAATCAAGGAATCCCAAGATTAGAGTTTACAAACCAATGCATTATTAAACTGCTCAGTGCCATCAGAAGCTGACAGCTGTTACCATAAAAGAGTTTAGTGGCTTTTGTAAATTGCTCAGGTGACAGGTCTAGTTACTTACGGACAACTAATCAGAAAAACTACTGCTGTAACTAGCACCCTTTGAATGGTCTCAAAAGAGAGTAACTTAATGGGTAGTGAAATAATTGCTCCCTCAACTTTAGAAATGTTTTTGTATTTCCTGTGGCGATGGAAAGACGACTAGAGTGTGGAAAAGAGGTCAGGAAAATGGATCAGGACAACACACTAGCACTGTTGTGGATAATTCTGAACAAAAAAAGAGGATTTCGGTCTCTGGGGCTGCTATTGTGGCATCTTTCACCAGCATTAAATAGTCAGGAGGGAAACAAAACCAAAACGCACGACAAAGTTATTTTCACCTTTCTTTTGCTATCTGGCTATCAACTCAATATCGTACCACTTTCTTGTTCTGCTTGAAGCTGATGCTAATCTGTGGATGGCAAGCGCACAGAACGCTAACGCTGCAGGGCTAGCACTACCACAATCCCAACGGTTTATTTTCATTCTGCACTTGCTCTGTCTTTCAATCTGAGCTTTTCAGTACACGTGGCAAGGTTTTGAGTGTTAGCACATTCACGTATTTAGTACTTCAGTGAAAAGATGAGACACAATTGCCACCTCAATATTATTAAGAGAACGCATCACTAACAACTAATTCTGGTTGTCTTCTAGGTCCTTACCCTTCTCAATAAATAGTCTTGGATGAATAGTCGCGTTGCACTAGGAAAGGCTTGTTTCTTATATTGAGCAAAGGGAAGGCCAGGGTAAAAACATTACTTCTACAGAGCCCGTGTTAGGACATGGATTGTCCAGATGAAGAAAACAAGCACAAGAACCAGACTAAAAACTATACATCGGAGTAAGAGACACTGCATGTACAAAAGATAATTACAACACTTGTAGTTGCTGGAGTTACTTTACTTTTGATGGAAAGAGACATGGCCATTGCTTTAAAAATTATGAGCCTTTATTACATGTCATTTTTGGGAAACCATCCCACAATTCCTGAAAGCAAGCTTGAAGAGGAATGTTAGATAAGAGCATACTAAAACACAGTCCAAGTGCAGACACGCATATACCCAGGCATATAGGCATAGGAAGGAAAGATTTAACGACAGTATCGAATGATGGGAGCTTCCAGGCTCTTCTGCAACAAACTAAACGTACAACTAACAGCACAAACCCCAAAGTGGCCAAGCAAGTCAAGTGATATTCCTCACTGGAACAACATGTGGGAAGTTTGCCAACACAGTGCCTACTTTTATGGAGGAGGAGACTTGATCTTATCAGATCATGTTTATCCATCCATCCATCTCTTCAGCCCCTTTCAGAAAAATGTCATTCCTCTCCCCATCTCCCTCACTCCCCCAAATAGAATTTACCAAGCTGCATTATCAGTCCCGAAATATTATGTGACAGTTTCAGACAAACACTATCATACTAACTTTGTCACTCTTGGGCCCTGCTGCCCTGCAGTGCCACGCCACAGTCCATTTCTGAGTACACTGCTGCTCGTAACAGACTTTGATCTGCCCAAAGCCACCTACAGGAATTTTAAACTCAAAGCACAGTACTCACCAAATAGAGTGCTATCTTAGTGCTACTAGAAGTCATTAACTCATCTCATTATAAGACATCACAGCGCGTTTAGGTTCACTTAAGATGATGATAAAGTCACCACACGGAGTCATTGTTTTATACTCCTCAACGCCAAAACTTCCTATAATCTTTTTGGAGGTGGTAAGCAGAATTTTATGCTTTTAAGTTGAAGAGTACTCCACAAGCAAACTACCAAAAATGGACAAACAGAAATACTGTAGAGTTTTGTTTCCAAAGAGATAGCTGAGGTTCTCTTGGAGACCTACAAACCCACCCACAAGATAATGCAACAGTAACATTTTTTCATTAATTTGAAATCCATGCAAATTATCTATGCAATAACCATCAGAAAATAGTAGTCCTTGGAAGGTGATTTGTTGCTTCTCACCTGAAAAACACTAGAGATTTCATTTCTGCGTCTTACTTAATATTTGCACATAGCATCTAAACACATTGTTTCTCCCTCAAATTTCTTATTTCGTTAACCGGACAGCAAGGCTCTCAAGTTTTCCTCATTCACGTGCCACCTACATTAAAAACTATAGCGAAGTCTGAATGAAACGTGTTCAAATAATGCCTACGATACACGGACCACTCTTTGGGAATTCTGTGAAAAAGCTTATTCACACAGCTAAAGCAATCACCCAATAGATCCATCTGACAGAGGACCAGGTGCCTTTTCATTTGATTAACTGTTTCTGTCTTCTGACAATTTAAAACACTGTGTAGTAGCAGGCCACATGCAATGCTACGCTCGCAAAGCAAATCCCAGACCAATGAGCAAAAGCGTCATTTATTAACAGAACTAGGAACTGCTGTTTAAGCGCCAGTTAGAAACTAAATTAACATTGACTAACAAAACCATGGCCTTCATTGCTCTTTCAGAGCACACGTGCAAAAGAACTAACCTCAGCATTGACTCTATTGCAGTGATCTTCTGCGTGAAAGAAAATTTAACAACTACCCAGAGAACTGAATGAAAGGAGCAGTGGGCTTCAGCAACAGAAAAGACCGCAGGGATTGTATCAGCATCTTTTCTGGTATGGCATTTGACCCTGTATATTCCTACAGTGGCATACAATAAGTTCTTGAGCTCCCTCTCTGTGGCTTATGTTAAAAAGCTTCATTGGGCATAATTACATGCAGTACTTCATGACACATCACATCTGTACTCAATGTAAGAATTGCATACCTAGAAGGCGGCCTGTCAGAGCAGTGACTAGCTCTGGAACTAGGACGTTCAAGCTCAGGATATCGATAGCTCCCAGGCTCCATATACGCAGCACTGCTGCTGTCATAGTGTCCGTACCGTGGGTCATACTGCCCATAGCTATCCTCCTAAGGATAAGAGATCGACATGTAAGGTAAGACTCTTCCCACACCCGAAAATAAAAATCAAGTAAGCAATAAGGCTTGTTCTTTCAAGACTAATTCCAGAACATACCTCTCCTCCCCCTAAAACAAACAAACAAAACATCACAAACCCTAACAGCTGCTTTTGGTACCCCTTGTGGCAAGATATATTCAGATCCATCAATATGCAAAAATAAATATATAAATACACACACACACACACACACGCACTACTACTGAATTAAAGGCAGTTCCGGCCACTACGTTGGCCACTCTATTAAACTGTCAATAATGCAGCCAGCAGGTGGGAACCAAGTTTGAACACCTGCACAGCTAAGAGAGTTATAACTGCCAACTTTTTCCAAAGAAGCCAGTAAAAGTGCTATTAGTTGACAACTGTGCCAATTGGAATTGATAGTAGCACCCACACTACATTTTAAATATCTTTTATAAGGTAAGTTTAAGACCCTCCGCACACCTTTCAGGTCAGTCTTTATGACTGAGGGTTATCACATTCCTGGTTCTGCCTTGTGATACATGTTACACATCATAAGTTATTTTATTCACCAAGCAGCAGCACGAGAACTATCAAAAAACCTTCCACACCTTTTCCTGTTACTTTCCTTTTCCTTAATTTTATATTTTCTTACAAGTATTTGAATTTTCCCTAAAATGCAATACTTAATACAAATGCTGATCATGACATCACTGTTTAAACCTGTAATTCAAAGATTAAATTACTAATACATACTGAGAGGAGAGGAAGGGGGAAATAAATATTTACTCTACCAGGTAATAAAGATGAGCTGCTGCTCTGGGATCTGCAGGAGAATAAGGTGGTGGATATGGAGGCTGGTAAGCATCATAAGGATGTCTATAGTAGTAACAAGGATTTTGTGGTGGACCAAAGGTATCCTGAGGAGTCTGAGGCCGGGGTGGACGCTGCAGGTCTTGCTGTGCGCTTGGCATGACTGAATGACTGGTGGCAGGGGCGGCTACGGAAGTCGGAGCACCTGATGACTGTCCAGGCACTGGTTGCTTATCAGGGCTCATCTGATTGTACCCTGTTGTGAGCTGTGCCGAACTTCCCTCTTGGGGACCCACAGGATGAGGATGGTTACTCAGCACCTGGTTTTCGCGCTGTTGCGATTCCTGCTTGGCTTTAGTCCCTGCAGCCATCTGGTAGCTTGGAGGAGCTGAGGACTGCCCAGATGATGTTGGTTGCTGCATCTGAGCTGCCTGTGTTTGTGGTTGAGATGGCACTGCTCCCTGTACAGCTCTGTCTGATACAGCCTGATATTGTATATCTTTTGTTACCTGTTGATAGAAACGTTGTTTGTCATGCACTTCAGGACCCACCTGACCAGCACTGCCAACTGGCTGTTGAGGATATACTGGACCACCAGAAAGCAACTGATTATGCACCTGTACAGAATTACTTGCACTGCTTTGCTCCAACGTCCGTGATACTGTGAAATCAAGCACTCCAGCAGCTTCTTCTTTGTTATTTGAATGATCTGCAGAATTATTAGCCTGTACTACAGAATTAACAGGTGGGACTAGTGCACCTGCACTTCCACTGGGGAGATTTGTCCCTGGAGAAACAGATGAGTTAGCCCCTGATTTGCTAGCAAATTCGGGAACAAAACCTTCCGAATTAACATTCATTTGACCATCTGGAGCCAAATTAAGCGGAGTTTGCATCAGCAAGTTTGCAGGCTGATTAGAAGCAATATCAGAGGAATTAATAGCGCTTTGCAATAAATTATGGTTTAACAGATTAGTGTTTGGAAGTGCATTAACTAATAGAGATCCAACTTGCATCACTGGTAGTGGCACATTTTCCCCAGAGATGATCCCACCAGCATGTGAAGTTTGGGGACCCATTGCCGGCTTGTCCCCAACCCCAGAATCCTTCATCTGCTGATTGTTTTCATGCCTGCTTAGCTGATTAGATAAAGAAGTAGAAAAATTAATTGGCTGAGCCAAGTTATAGCTTTGATTAGGCTGAGCAATCAGGATAGGCTGATTTTGCAAAGACTCTGTAGGTGGAGAAGACAACAAACTTGCATAACCAGAACTTGCCTGGGACTGAAGTGCCTCCTCTTCTCCCATTTTGGGAGGATTCTCAAGATTTTCAGAAGACATATTTCCATCTTGGGAAAGCTGCACAGCAATAGTTCCTGGTTTATTTGGCTCCTGATTAGATAGGCCTTCCTCTGGTGGTTGAATGACTTCTATGGTTTGTTTGGCAGGTACATACACTGCAGGAGCAGCAGGAGCTAGCAGAACGTTTCCTCCAAAATTAGGTAACTCACTATGAGCCCACAAAGTTGTTGCCGGGCTGTCACACTTCTTAACTGCTCCCTGAGCTCTTGCTGAGGACCTTTTCTCAGACACTGATTGTATGTTTTCCGTACCAGATCCAGAGTGCAGCCTATTTCCAGCTTCACCAGTGACTGCAAGAGGCAGTGGGTGTACCTGAGGCATGAAAATGGTTTCCAGATTATCTGGTGGCTGTTCAAGATTACCTGGGGAGGCAGCTGGCCCAGCTGTATTTTTCTTGGTATTCTTTTGGTTTGGGTGGTTCTCTCTTAATTCAACCACCATCTTTGCTTGGTCAATCTCTGCAGGTTTTATCCCAACTCCATGGGACCTCACAGGTTCAAAAGAACTGTTTGCACTTGTCTGAAATATTCCTGTAGGCTTAGGAGGACTTGGAGTTGGTGGCTGGGAGAGATTACCATGGTAGTTCTTGCTCATATTTAGCTCACTTGAATCACCTCCCAAAGGAGAGGAGTCAATCTGTTTAAAGAAGCTCGCAGAAGACTCATCAGTGAATGAACGTACCAACTTGCTCTTGAGGTCTCGTTGAGCTAGAAGCACTCCTATGGCTAATGGTGCTGTAGTTTGAAGATACGCTATCTGGTCGGACAGGATGAGGTAACGAATCAGGTGCCTCCAAATTTGGTCCTCCTTCCGCATGGCTCACAACAGTGTTCTTTGGAAGCATCTGACCCGGAAAGGATCCGTATCTGTACGGATCAGAAGTGGCAGCCGGGGATGAAGCATTCACGTTCTGTGGTTCAGTTGGCAGCACTTCTTGATTCTGAACGCATTCTAGGTTCTCAACATTTTCATATTGTGCTCCACCATTCCCAGATGTGTCACTAGCACGTGTTTTGTCATCATTAACAAACACAGGGTGCTTAGTAGCCTGTGTCTCCTGTTGACTGCTTATAGCTGCAGGAAAATACTGGACATCCATTCCTTTCTGTACCATCTCATTGGCTAAGCCTATACCAGTCTGCACCTGAGAGAGAACATTAGTTGCAACCCGATGAGGATGCATTGGCTGGTGGTACAAGGGTCCCAAATTTGGCTGACAAGCAGACTCAGTTTTCTCAACCATGTAATTTTTTTCAGATGAAAGTATTTCCTCATTCTCTGCTTCATCCCCTTTGAAAAACATGGAAAGAGTTCCTGAATCTTGATCTGTGGGGGTAGGCCTGTTTGATGCCTCAGACATATCTGGAGACTGTTTTTTGGGGTTATTTTCCTGAGCTGTGGGGATAACAAAACTGGAGTCTTGCAGCGGCGGCTGTGGGTAAAACTGCTCTTGGTATGGTCGATTTAACCAAGAGTTAGTCATTTCTGTGTTCTGTCTAAACACATTCCCAGGCTGGATGCTGTTCATGTGACAACTGCTACCTGCAGAGCCGTTTTTCCCATTTTTTTCACAACCAACTAACAAAGGTGCTTGCATGATGCTTTGTGGAACAGCTTGGTGCGCAGGACCCTGTTGCAAATTTGTCTGTGGGAAAGGATGAGAAGTGCTAACAGAAGATTGAGAAACGTAACGAACATCAACTTGAGAAGACTGCTCGGGACAGGGCACAAAATTTCGCACTGGAGACTGCAGGTTACCTTGAACAGGTCTCCACTGAAATACAGGCTGCTGAGGAGGTGGAGGGAAGAGTGCTGTTGCAGTGGATCCTGAAGGAACATTACTTGGCTCTCTATTAATGTCTTGTCTACCTTCAGGTTTGTTTGATGTAGACACCATTCCAGAATGCCCACTGATAGAATTTTCAACTGCTGCTCCTATATTATAATGCAATGGTACTGCAGGCCCACGGAGCCCAAGATCTGCACTTGGATGCACTTCTGTAGTACTATTTATAACATATCCTGGGGGCGGTGAAGAAACTGGAATATTAGAAAATGTATTGGTATTTATTCCTGCTTGAGATACAGGAGCTGATAAAGACGTAGGCAGTCCATGAGGATTGTCTGCTGCCTGCGAAGGCGAAGCATGAATAACAGCTGGCTGTGGAAACACTGCTGGGGAAGGACTTTGTATAGCCAATGCATTGCCCTTGGATGGATTACCTAAAGGGGAAGCCTGTGGCGTTTGTCTGCCAAATGCAAAAGGGTCTGTCACAGGTTGCACCGGGGCAGCTGGTGCATTTGCTCGTTTACCAAGTGAGCTGTTTCGCCAGTACATGTTCTGAGCAATGCCCGCAGAAACAGTCTGTGGAGGCTGCTGCATGAGGGACTTCTAGCAGGGCCAAACAGTAGATGAGGAACTACTAGTGAACGCTGCAGACAGATTCTTTCTTCCACGCTATAAAAGCAGAAAGATGACAAGTCAGTTTCTTATCTCACATTAAATAAATGCAATACTTGAGGAACGTTTAGTTTAGAAGCAAAATTACTGAGAAAACTTGAAACTAAATGAAAGATGTCTCTATGTTCTCCAGAACTCGTAAGAAAATCATACAGAACGTTGCATTTCTAAATCCAAGCCCAGAATTAACATAGGTTAGTGCTGCTTTATAACAGCACACGTTATTTAACAACAGTTTTAACAAATAGCTCCAAGTAAGAGTAATCAAACATAGCTTGGTCCCGTACAAATTTTAAAATCTGAGACCATTATAGCACCAATGGGATTATACTGTTACATTCTCTAAACGTGTTTTAAGCGGTACACATCATAGAGCAAACGCAGCAGCGCCAGTCTATGCTAGCAACTGCGAACAGTATGGCAAGCTCAACATAATTAAAAAAAACAGTTGAGGAAATACTATCTAGCTCTCAAATTCTGTTAGAGACTATATTCCTTCAGCTTTCCTGCATTGTTGCTCAGTGTGAATGGACCTTCTGACAGGTAAAACGAGAAGCAAACTTCTCTAGAAAGAATTCATCAGATGCTATTCCCCTCAACAGAGCTCAAGTCCATTTTTGTTTTAATAAAGAAAATATTGTTCAGGACAGTAGTGTTATCTGTTTTGAGAAAGGCCACTGTGTTTTCATCACAAATATTCTTTCTTCTGGAAGAGTGCTGCATAACAGTAAAGTTGTATTTAAAAATATAAAATATAATTCATTCCCCCCACCTACTAGTTCATCAATGCCCCCACTTTAACTTTAGTAGGAATCTGGCACAGATAGTGTTGTGGTGTTATACTGCAGGGTGGAATGGACAGGTACAAAAGTATTCCAACTCTGCCAGCAAGAACTTCAATCAACACCGGTTAGGAATTTGGTGCACGTGAAGCTCAATAAGCTAATTAGGAACATGTATTTTTCAATTTTATCACTGCTGACCAATTTGGGGAGAAGGGCAGTTGACAAGACCAGAGTTGTTCTTCACTACTCGTTCAGTTCAACTCAGGGAAGCTTTTAACAACGTATGACAGACTTGTTTTTTTAACAGTACATCACGTAGAATGAAGTATCCATAACCGAAATGTTTTCCAGCAGGGCATGATGGCTGCCAACCAGGACATTACCAGGAAACCCTGCCCAATCATCTACTTCAGCTTCCACAAGCTTAAGAAATCCCAGACGTTTCTCTAAGACTGTTTGAACATCCTCATTTATTTTTCATCGTGTTTTTTACTGTATTAACTGCAAAAATTCCCTCCAATAAACTAGAGGGGTTTTTTTTGTTTTTGTGTTTGTTTGTTTGTTTTTTTTTTTACACGAACACAAAGCTAAGCAGGGGGAAAAAAGCTAATAAAAACATCTGCCAAGACAGTTACCTACTGGAAAGCACTAATTTAACTGAACAGAATGCCGATATCTACCTAACAGTTCTGTTGTGCTTTGATATATTTCACAAATAATTTTTCAATTAACAAAAGCCAACTGTTTTATAACTCAGATACTCACTTCCAAATTTTTAATGTGAACTTTGCTCCATACAGTGTCTTATCACATGTACACAGAGAATGAAATCCTAATACTTTATCCCAGTCTTACGACAACCAGTACTCTGCTAATCAAAATAAGTACAGCATTCCACTTGTAACTGCTGTCTTGCCATTACTACAACAAGATCTCTAATGTTATATTACAAAGGTTCAATATGAGGGTATCAGGTTCCTTACAGAAGGAAAGTTAATATTAACAGACTGCACACATTAGTAAAAGCATGTAAGATGTAACGATTTAAGTCCAAATAAAACAAACATGATCATGCCAGATAACTTAAATGTGAAATACAATTTTGGGACAACTTCAGTTTATTAATGAATAATGCAGAACAGCCTGCTAAGCGTTAGTCAGGAGAAATAACAATTGCAGAAGTTGTTTCCAGATATGCCAAGAAAAAAAATTACCAAGGAGGAAAAAACAGAGAAAGATTAAAACTACACTGCAGACAAGACCATCAATAAATTATATCTGATGAGATGTATAAGCACGATTGGTTTAAACTCCTCTGTGAAAATTTACCTGCACGAAAAAGATTTATTTGTCAGGATTAATTTAATGCTTTCTCCAAGGTACGTACACTAGCTACTCTTAAATAGGAATAAGTATGTCCACAAAGCAGGTTATAGGACACTAACATTAATTCTTATAGATACACACACACACACGCATACGTATGTACATGTGAAACAATGTGCTCACGTTCACAGTCTCCTAAACTGAGGACAATGTGCATAAAATAGTGTCATGCAATCCCAAAGACAGGAATAGCTGATAAATGAACTTGCACCCTTAAAATCTAAGTAATACCTAATACGCTTTTTCCTTCAGATTTTTTCAATTGTAAACAACTATAGAGCTATGCACATGTGGCTGACACTCAGATTGAACACGTTTATCTATTGCTCCATCTTGACGGCTGTTGAAAGTGTCGTACTGGCTTTCTCAGAAACGGCAACTGTGAGTACGAATGTTATGAAGCGTAAAGGGCTCTTGTGGAATGAAAAGCACAGACTTGAACACAAATCATAGAGAGCGGCAACAATAAACACTTCCATTTGTTTGTAAAGAACTACTAGTCCATTATACCAGCACTAGCCTACTAGCCATCCTATGAGTAAACTACTAGCCCACTGCACCAGTAACGGCACAGACCACTAGTCTATTACACCAGTAGTTCCCAAAATTTTCAGGAAACTGTACTACTAGCTCAGTACCAGTTGCTATTCAAATAAAGCACAGACCCATGACACTGCAACTTGAGGTGGAGAAAAACAAATGGTTTGAGAGAATTTTAAGTGTCTTGTTAAAGCAAACAGATAACAGTGAACGTCGAGAGATGCCTTTAATCACCACTCTTCCCCCCTCTCCCCCCGGGGGGCAGGATTTAAGGCACCGGCAGTGCGCGCCCCCACCCCGCCGTGGCACCCCAGGGGAGGCGCGGGCGCAGCCCCGGCTGCCCCCGG